GCTTCATACTTGTTTCAGTGATTGATTTTTGATAATCCAAAAGTTGAAACCACTGATTTTAGCTTCTCCAGCATCGTATGCTCTGATTTGATGTGTGCATCGTATGCATATTCCCACACGCATGTATGGATGTGTATATATCCATATTGGGGGTTGGCATTTATGCTCTAGCAACTTGGATGAAGCTGATAAGATGATTCTTGACAATTTTTTCGATATTCTTTATTTAATCTCCATTTTCGAATAAAGTAAAGGTGACTACTGATTATCCATGTGTAGAGAGAGATCAATGTTATATGACTGTTATTTGATTTGATTTCTTAATTTGTGGAATGAGCAAGTGTGTGATTGATTGGTCAAATGGATTGATAAATAAATTATTAATGGAGTATATAGTTGTTATTGTTAAGGCCGAAATATATAGTTAGATTACTTACAAACATATAAAAACAATTTTTTTGAATTGTTAAAGGGAGAAAGTTGTGTGAATTTTTTTATTATTACGAGTTTAGATCTAATAAATTGGTAATCGATTAACTTATTTTAAAAGCACTTGATAAATTATTAAAGAATAGATCGGATCGGATGCTAATGCAAATTTGTGAATGCTTTTAGGATTTGTGTATATGTAACGTAACTAAAACTGAGGTCATTATTTGTCAGAGAAAACGATGATTAGTTTTTCAAAATATTCGGCAAAAATAAGCCACCTTTCGAAAAGCCCACGAGCTTTTGGGTTCCTACTACTCACAGAAGCATCAAAACTCCATAAAGGAATATATATATATATAAACTCCATAAAGGAATATATATATATATATATGTATAACCTTCTTTGACTGCATCGAACTTCAAGTCCCTCACGCCTCACGACGGTTAATGTAGCTTTTTCACTTTCTAATTTTTATACATATACTTCCTCAGAAAAGTCTCTACAGTCCTTCTCAATGTTCTCATAATATTGGACTTCTCCGTACGGTAAACAACTTTGAGAAGGTAAATCAAAGACTTTTTTTTTTTAACTACGTTTCTATGATATGGAAGTCTTCGTTTTAACCAACTCTTTTCATCTTTTAGTTTTATTCAAAACCTAAAAGTACGTGCGGAAGGTGAAATTGGTGTTATGATAGTTTAGTTAAGTTTATCCTAATCCACTGTACGTATTTGTATGTCAAAATAGTTATTATACGTACGTAACTGTTTTTGTCTATGTAACGTACGATGTTTTTTTTCTCTCGTGAAACCCAAGATTTTAAGTTTTTCTAATTTTACCCTCGTAGAATTGAAAATTATATATGTTCTACAAAGTTGACGCACCATCTTGCTAGCTAATTGAATTACTAACCAAAAGGCTTCTATAAATAATATTTGGCGTAAATGCATGGCAATGTAACGTGCAAATTGTTGCAGTTTGGTCTTTATCCTAGATGTTAGGTTTGACTAATACACAAGAAGATGATATATACTGTCATGTAATTAGCAGAAAACCGGTCACATATATAAGAGTGAGATGTATCATGTATATATAGATACAAAGTTTACTTGGTTCTTCAATGTGTAACGTGTATAAATACTTCACTTTGTGGTGTTGGTTTGTGCATTTTGGAGAAACTCGAGAACTTAAGCAAGCTTTGTCGTCCTTTAACAATTTTGATCGTGAATGTCAGTTTGAACATTATATATAGCTAAAGTCTTGATTGTTTTTTTGTTTTTTTTTTAAATTGCATTTGCGTTTTATTGTTCTTATAATCATCATACACGCGTTTCCAACACAAACTAGCAATCAGAACTTATGTAATGAATGTAATTGCTATCCTAGGAGAACTTTTGAAAAGTTTCTAGTTCGAGATTCTATACCACAAAACAAAAGGAAAAACAAATTAATCGGCTATGGTATTTGACCCGTATAGTTATAGACCAAAACTCTAGATCTTTTTGGTATATATATATATATATGTTTTGATGTAACTGTGAGAAAATACTAATAAATTAATGCATTGAATTAAAGATTAAGTGTTTGGTTAGAGGAAGATCAACTGTAGTCTGTAATATTGCTGTCTCCTTCGGACTAGTTGGAAATTTCCGCCATACGATTTCTTATTTATATCTTTTTGTTATAATTATTATTTAATTTTTCATAGATTATAATTGTTCTTACAACCTTTTTTCCTCTGCAAACGGACATATAAAAAATCTATTAACGGAACCTAATACAATATAATTAGTTGAGTTTCCACAAAGGAGTCATGAACCATGGTTAATTGAAACATTGAACTATCTACTTTGATTTTATAATCGACCGAATCATTCAATATATGCATGTATGATATAGTAGCTAGTATAAGGTATGCATGATTGAAATCTCGGACGCAATTGCTCAATATTGTACGAAATCGGAATGAAAAAAGGTTAGATCGATATTAATCAGTTATCGAACGGAACATATTATTATAAGTTGATGCCATAAAAATATAGTTATATCTGAAAGCCCCGGAGAAAGAGTTTTAGGACTAATTAACGTCAACGTAGAAGCATCTAAAAAGCGATTAGAAATTGTGTTAAATAAGAATTAGTTTAGTCGTTAGAAGAGTTAGGGTTTTCGCGGGTCCCAGAGTTTATGCGTTTGCGTGCCTTGATGTGCTTAAAACTAAATTTACACCAATAATCAACCACCATATCGAGACGTCTGATTCATTTCTTAGAATATATTTATATGATCTAGTAATGTATGTAACGGAAATGTTATATATTATAATTATTATTTACTGCTTTGTAGTTTTATACATTCATTCTAAACTAAGCCTCCAACTTAGAGTTCTAGCCATGTCCTTATGTGTGTAACTAAATTCGTCGTGTTCACATTTATTGAGATCCCCCGAATATTAGAGATATTTTTTGTTTTGTTTATTTTATTTTATTTTAAAATGTTATTTTGCATTTCCAATATGATATTTCAAACAAAATTTATATGTTATCCTTTATTCAGAATTAACAAAAAAAAATTTTGTCAACAACAAATTTAAAATTAAATAAATATTGTTTAGTTAATAACATATTAAGCAAGTATATATTTGTATATTTAAAAATTAGAATGTGTGAAAACAAAATTCTTACAACGGATGAATAACACTTAAAACAATATCATGTAAACTATATGAACCTATGTGCCACATGAAAATAATAAGAATGATCAAATATCATATTTAATTTTGAAATTTTAAGTTGGTATTAAGCTTATTCAAATGGAATACAAGAATATATATATATATATATAATATCATATCTAATTTTTGTTTTATTACTATAGCTGCCATCAATGGGTCTAGCTCGTTGAGGATTGGACAAACAATAAAATCAGAAAATTTCACAGTTCTTTACCTCTAAAAAAAAAACACGAATTGAGATGAATTGTTGATTTTTTTTCCCCCTCTTTGCCAACTGTTTTATTGATCAGAACACGATATATTTATGTATATTCAATTATAAAAAGATTGACTTTAATAACACTTATTTTTTGTTTATACGTATTATAGCTGAGATGTGGCATGGTGTGGATCATTTGTTGACCAATGACCAGTACTGCATACTGTTTTATACTGTTGTAATGCATATAGTGTGTATATATAAATACACACAACTAAATTATTTAACGTCTATAAAAACACAAAAAACATTCAACGTCTCCACGTGGAAAACCTAATTTATATGTTGGTACGAATTGATTTCATGTACATTCTTAAAGGGAGATGACAAACTTATATACAAAATGAAAACTGATTTCAAGTACATTCCTTTTCTTGCTTTGATTATTTACATATACTCATGTCAGGATTCTTAATTAGTTTTCTTTAAATTGTACCTTTTAAGTTTATAAAGGCTACAAACTCTTCATTTTGTCAACATATGGATTAGTTGCAGCAACTTTCGTGTACCTACATTGCTTCACAAACTTGATCATCGTCTTCTCTTCCTTTCTATTTCTTCTTCTAACAAATAATAATATGACAAAGTTTCCACAAGGGTATTTTCGTCATTCTCGGATCACCAAAGTCAAAAAGCTAAACTAAGATCTTCTCCGTCCGACAAGTTCACAATACACGAAACACAAAAGCCCTATTTAAAGCGCAAAGATCACACACACACTTATAGCCTCATTAACTAAGATCCTTCATTTTGATTCCCTTCATCAAAACATTTCTCCCTGTGTCTTCTAAGCGATCTTCCACAGGTATATACATACGACATACAAAAACATAGATGTTAATATATATGTTTCTGCATCATACACACGTTAACAAGTTCAAATTTGATTGTGAATCCAAATATTGATCAAAAGTGCACGTGTTTGCTTCGTTCTTATCTTTTAGTTTGATGCAATTCTATATCCTTAATATTCTAGATTATTTAACTTATTCAAGAATACTTCCTAAGAATGTAACATTTGTGTTATAGTGAAAAATGGGGCGATCGCCGTGTTGTAATGAGAATGGGCTAAAGAAAGGGCCATGGACACAAGAGGAGGATGAGAAATTGATCGGCCACATTCAAAAACACGGCCATGGAAGCTGGAGAGCTCTTCCTAAGCAAGCCGGTTTAAACCGATGTGGGAAGAGTTGTAGATTGAGATGGACTAACTACTTGAGACCAGACATTAAGAGGGGAAATTTCACGGAAGAGGAAGAACAAACCATCATCAACCTCCATTCTCTTCTTGGAAACAAGTAATCAATTACTTTTACATTTTAATTGTAGATTCTTGATTAGTTTATAATATATCACATATGCTAATCCTTCAACTCACAATTTTCATTATATATATATATATATTTATTAGTCGATATAGATGGTTGATAATTATATGTGAAACGATCTAAAATGAAATGTAACTAGAACCAATTATATATTTTGCCGTATATATATAATGAACATATAGTATATAGTTTATGGATGAAAGAATATAAGTATATAATTCAAACATCTACTACACTGATTTTATATTGATGCATACGTATCTAACCGTTTCCAATGAAATTAATAATCAGTGTTACTAAATTTAGGTATTTTAAAACTAATCTACTATGATAATATTAGTTTGATTAAAAATTAATTTGGTATGTGTTATTGATGAAAGGTGGTCGTCGATAGCCGGTAATATTCCAGGAAGAACGGACAATGAAATAAAAAACTATTGGAACACACATTTGAGAAAGAAACTTCTCCAAATGGGGATTGATCCGGTGACCCATAGGCCAAGAACCGATCATCTAAACGTTCTTGCCGCTCTCCCGCAGCTTTTCGCCGCAGCAAATTTCAACAGCCTCTTGAATATCAATCAAAACGTGCAACTGGATGCAACAACTCTTGCCAAAGCCCATTTGTTGCACAATATGATTCAAGTCCTTACCACCAATAACAGCAACCTTTCTTCTTCATCATCAACCATGCAGACTAATAACAATTTCTTTGGCCAGTCTTCTTACTTGGAGAACCAAAATATTTTTGGCCAGTCTCAAAACTTCTCCAAGATTGATCTTGAGAACAATCATGATTATGATGATCATTTGATGGTAAAAAGCCAAATAATTGATCAGCCTTTGGATTCTTTTCCTTCCCGGATACAAATGGATGTTGAAGATGATCATAACTCACTCCCTCTATTGGTTGCGGTTTCTCCTGAAGAAACTAAACAAAGCCAGGTGATGATCAAGAGCAAAGACATCGTGAATTATCATCATCATCATGATACTTCAAACCCTTCATCATCAAACTCGACGTTCACGCAAGATCATCATCATCAGCCATGGTGTGACATCATTGATGATGAAGCAAGTGATTCTTATTGGAAAGAGATCATAGAGTAAGATCCCTCATTTTTCTCCCACATACAATTTTTGTTTGCATAATTTGAATCTCGTAGTTACCACATGAATATATTCAATCGACGATTTGGCTAGTCTAATGTTTAGTTACTCTGTATTGCAGGCAAACGTGTTCAGAACCATGGCCATTTCCTGAATAGACAAGATTGGAAAAAAAAACAAAAATTAAAGAGAGAATAAATATATAAAATTAGTTGTTGTCGACAGAGCATATTCATCGTTCACTAAGTTTTCTTTTTTTCAGACCATGTATAAATTGATCTTGTAAAAAGTTAACTGTTTATTGTATCAAATACAAATACTTGTATTCGTAATCTACACTTTTATAATCTAATTTTATATATTTAAAAACATAAAGTTGGTAACACAAATTTATTTTGTTCTTCCATTTGGATTTTATTTAAATGGTCGTAAATGCGAACAAAACAATGATCAAGCCTCTAATGTCTCTCTCTACTAGCAATTGTATTTTAGTCAAAATGTAAAAGACAGAACAAAATCTTGACTCTCCCAAGCTAAATGAACAAATAAATATGATTACTTTTGGATAAGAAATATATATACTTTTTGTTTGTTTTACCAAATATAATTGAAGATGAAGGATTTAGTTGGCGATGGGTAAGAAGAAGTGAACTACAATATATAGTTTCGAAAGTGACACAATCTTGTTTTGAATTTGACTTCCGTCGGAGACAAAAGGATCAACTGATTAAAAATATATTAATGTACTACAACAGTAGTTACATAACTTACGCTACATGTCTCGCGGGACAGAACATTTTGGCACTATTTTTAATATCGCGGCCGAAACTAAACGATGAGTCATGAACAGTTACGATCTTGCATTATCGTAATTAATTATCACCGTGAATTTGTGATTGGCATAATAATTATCAGTAGACAAAAATAATATAACTGATCAACATGTAATTACATAAATTGTTATATGCTTTATGCCAAAGTAAGAGGGGAAACTATTTTCTTCTCTCAATTTTATGTCAAATTAAACACTCGAGCACAATTAAATTATGGTTTAGGACAGGGAGAAGCGTGTGCTAAAAGATTATGCATGTACAAAACGTTATTCTCAAGAAAAATAAAACCAATGGTTAGATTTTTATTTTTTAGTTCGGTTCAATTTCTCTGAACCTCAAATAGTGTACCTTTTGAATTATCTCATCATATTAAAAAGAAACTTTATTACAAAACCGAAACCAAACCCAATTTTTGCCCACTTGATCAAAATATAGTCACATTTGTTCATTCAACAGTCTCGGCATGAATCTTATATTGAGCTATGTCTTCTTCTAACGATTGAAACAAAAGATCAAAGACGTCTTCGTAATCCTTATAAAAAAGTTTACCAGAGACAAATCCATGTGAAGCAAAGACGCAAGCAATTGTTCAAAAGTGTCCTTCAATGCTTTGGTCTCTTTGGTGGGGTATTCGAGTTCCCGGGCTCCGATTTCCGCTTTATTCCCAAGAAATGCTCCACCTGAAACGGTTTCAATGCAAATATCAACAAAACTAACCCTAGTTTAGGCATCTCATTAATAATAAGTTACTAAAATGAAATTGTATTTTATCTTAGATTCTGAAACCTTTTTGTCACCAAGCAGTGGTGTTAAGCTTCCTGGAGCATCCTTCTCAACAGTCGCAAATCCGCTCTGAGGATCACTAGTTTGTCTGAAAAAATTGCAATAAACATGTGTTAGTTAAATAAAACTGAATGATACACTTAGAAGTCTTGTGATGCCTACAAATCGAGAAACTAAAACTGAGTAATGAAGCACATACCCTGGTTTGACATTGCCACTGAGGACAAGGTAAGGAGTTTTCAATTGCGCTTGTGCTTCTCTCATTCTTTGAACAGAAAGGGATGGTGTGTCTGAGTTTTTCATTTGCTTTAATTTGAGCTCTTCCTGGTACTGTTTCATCCGTTTCTCTTCCTTCATTTTTCCAGGTCCCTTCCCGTGGAATTTGTGAGAGAGTAATCGAAAGGCTTCTTTTGGAGTTAACTGTTAAAAAAAACGCGAGTGTTGATTTCAGATATACACACACATAAGGACGAGTTTCATAAGATTGAGGAGCAGAGATTAAGAAAACTTACGGTTCTACCAAACTCGTCCCTCCTCTCAATACGGATATCACTGAATCTCTCTTTACTTCCTTCATCATCAACAATACCCACAAGCTTGCTCTTTTTTTTGTCCATATTTCTACCACCCCATTCGACCTTCTCCTTTAAGGTTCCTCGGTCTTTAAGAAGCTTCAATACACCAGACAATCCTTTTCCAACCGCAACCTCGTGTATGGTCTCATCAGGAGTTATCTCTTTTGTATCTGATGAAATCTCTGCTGCGTCCATATCGGTGTCCTTACCTTCTGTCCAAACATCGGGTTGCTCTTCTTTTACTTCTTCAAGAGCCTTGGGTGCTTCATCTTCATCCATGAAAACATCTTCGCTCTCAGGCTTCCGCACACCTGCAACACCAAACCAACATATCAAAAACTCCATATCACTTCTAACGATAAAAGCATGTTTTTGTTTAAGAGATAAGGTAATCTGTTGATTTAAAAACTTTACCTTCATCGCGCTGGAGACCCCAGACAAAATCTTCCATCTCTGTGAAAACCACTGTTTTTTCTTCTGTCTCAGCCCCAGTGGCGCTATTATCATCTGTCGTTTGGTTGGTGCTGGAAGCCAGAATATGCGCAACTGCTTGAGGACCAGATCTGCCTTGCTCTTTCTTTGTGAAAGCTAACTTCCTAGCTCTCTCTAACGATTTATAAAGATCTTCAGCATCATCAGCCAACGCCATACTCTCATCTTCGTCTTTAATAGGCTGAAGTTGTTCCATTCTGAGTTGTCTGGATGCCTCACCAGCTTTAGCAATGGCTGCCTGATAGGCATTGCTCCGTTTTTCATTCTCGGACCTTTCTTGCTCTTCTTTCATGGCCTGCCTTTTGCCGTCTTTGCGAGAACCACGATCCCCAGCTCCCAATCCTGATGCAACAGCTTCTGCTTCAAGCGCACTTACGTCCAATTTATCCTTTTTCCGCAATGATTTCTTTTTCTTGGGTTTTTTGAATCGTAGCATTTCTTCTTGTGAGAAGTAATCTGATGAGACCTTTGCTGACGAGTTAAGGTCTTCAAAAGTAGTATTTGTCGTTTGACCCTGAATTCTCTTGCGCAGCTGATAGTAGAACATGAAGGACAATGAATTCCATTACCGAATACTGACTACAATCCACTACTCATTAAAAATTGTAAGGAAGAAAGGTACCTCCTCCAGTTTCTTCTCTGCTTCACCGGTAAAGCGGCCTTTCGCATCCAAAAGTATCCCCTGAAGATGAAGGCAGCAACGTTATTTCATCCAAAGGACAGGGAACTATTCTAGTATTTAAAAAAACCCTAACTTACCTCATCGGTAGCGGGCTCATCATACTGCGGAAGCATCATCTTTTCTGCCCCGGGGTCATCATTAAACCTACAAAAATCAAAACCATTGCTGAGTTTCAATCTTAAGTAACACAGATGTGCTCATCTCAATGAATGCCATTAAAAATCCTTTTACTTACTTATCATCATATGTTCCCTTTTTCTTCTTTGCTGCTTCATAAGCTTCGTTCCGGCGCTTCTGTTCTCCAATTTCCACATTTTCTAGCATGTCAATCTCTGCCAGAATAGTTGCAAATATCGTTTACTACAGACCCTCACGTAAACCATGCCGATAACATTAACAAACGAGAGCATAAAAAGATACTAACCATTGTTAACATCTCCATCAGCAAGGACACTCTGGTCTTTTAGTGTCAAGATAACTGCTCCACCTTCCACTACCTTCTCCAAACCGTGTAGAACTTTAACACCAGATAGATGCTCTGTTAACCAGAATATGAGAAGATGATTATCAACCAAACGCATCACATGAAGAAACTTGATTCAGAAAGAATGAAAAAGAATAGAATTCTATTGCACCATAGAACACTTGAATCATTATACTTAATCGTGCAAGTTTTTGATCAAATTCTTTGAAGATTTATAGTAAGCTGTGAAAGAACTGCAAAGTATGTTATTCCAGCACCACCCTATAAGTCTCTCTCATAAAATCCCTAGCCATTACATCCTACATTATTATAACTTTGATCAAAGGAAAACTTACCACCATTGTCGCTGTCTTCATTTTCACCTTGATTAAGATTGTCCTGAACAGATGTAGCATAGGATAGATTATTTAAATGTCAGATAAAAGGAAGTTATGAAGAAATAAAAGGATATATATATGCCCAGGGAATGGAGGGACCACCTGCTCCTCAAAAATTCTCGAGAGCTGATGAGCTCTTTGCTTCTCAGCGTTTCTTTTCTCCTCAATCTTCCGGCTTCTTGCAACCCATGATAGAGCATCAGAAGCATCTTCAAGTTTCTTTTTTCTTTCCTCCCTCATCCTGAGGAAGAAACACAAGTATTTTTATTACGTAACCATTCGTAACTATTCGTATATCAAGAACAAAAATAGCACGAGAGAGCTAGACAAAGAGGATGCTTAGAAAACTACTCTAACATAAAAATGTAAAAATACTTGAAATAATAAATTCAACAATTGAATAGTTAACAGCACAAAGAAAGGATCACTTACTTCAAAATGCGACCCTCAACTTCCGACGCAGATACCTCTTTCCCACTAGGTGCAGCATCAACATTATCCACACCTTCATTCGAACCTCTGTTGTCATAATGGTCATATCTTTCCGCAGCTTTTTCAGTCTCATCATCATCTTCATGGCTTTTCTTACTCGCTCTATCCTTCACTCTTGACCTATCCTTGTCTTTGTGTGCTTCCTTCTCCTTTTCCTTAGTCTTCTCTTTTAGTTTATCCTTTTCTTTATCCTTCTCATTATCCCTCTCCTTTTCTCTGTCTTTATGTTTATCTCTTTCTTTTTCCCTCTCCTTATCTTTCACCCGATCTCTTTCCCTGTCCCTATCCCTTTCCCTGTCTCTATCCCAATCTCTGCTCTTATCTTTCTCCCTCTCTTTATCTCTACTTCTAGCCATCTCCTTCTCAGTGTCTCCTTCTTTATCTCTTTTTCGGTCCCTCTCTTTCTCCTTGTCCCTCCGGTGGTCCTTTTCCCTTTCCCGCTCCTTATCCCTTCGGTCATAGTCTTTTTCTTTATCCTTGCTCCTATGATCCTTCTCTTTCCTCCTTCCGTCTCTGTTTTCTCTAGCAGGCGACCCCTTGTTGTCAGCTCTCTCTTCCCTGCTTTCATGCCTTGATTTAGACTTCTCCACTTCCATTTTCAAACGCCTAATCACATAAAGGAAAGGAAAATTACAGACTAGAACGAGCAAGGAAGAGTATCAAATCTATAACAGTGGCAAAAATTTGGAAAGATACAACCAGACATATGAATTACTCCGACTGGTGAAGATTTGTAAGGCTAATCGTCGCCGAACCTCCCAAACAATACATAACCAACGAGGAAAACCCTAACGTAAGAAGATTTCAATATTATGGAGAAGAAAGGTAAACTAAATCATGTGTTCTAGTTTTACATCACAGTGTCTGAGTTCGGAGAAGAAACGGAAAAGGGAACAAGGTCAGGCCATACGAAGTTCACCGGAAACAAAACGCAAACGTCCAAACAGAAATCTCGAAGAAAACGAAAAGTGCATCAAATTCCGATTCGAATTACCTCGATATCAAGCCTTCAATGGACGGTACTGAGAAATTCGGATCCACGGACAACGAAGATTGAAAAAGCTTTTTCAGAATTACAGGAGAAATTTCCAAGGGTTTAGAGATAAATTGCGAAAAGTAAACCGACGAATAGTAGCTGGGAGAGGATAAAGCCCTAACAAAAGCGAAGAGAGTGAGAAGAAAATGCTTCAAGCAAGTGAGATGACGACTAACAGCATACCCCGGACGATCGCAACCTCGCCGTGGAAAAGAGACGGAGAAACTCTTATATCGACGAGAGGACGATTGTGCAAAACGTAAATAAATAAAGATATATGGGTATATATAGCACTCCGGTTTAAAAGCCCCGGTACGTGAATAAATCAAAGTCGGTGTAATTTTGGACCGGCTATTTTCCTAATTGGGGATCTCAGTTGTTGAATCAAAATACTTGTTCACTCTTTGCTTTGAATCATTTCCAAAAAATGTTTTTCTGCAATTTATTCCGAAATATTGAAATTTCCTGGTCCGGTCTATGAAGACTCGTTCAGCTGTTTAAAACTTTCATACTCGTCAAAAGCTAGAAAAAAATCTGCCATTTTTACACAAAACTTATCGAAACATATCCTTTCGTACACCATTCCTCACCCAAACAACGAGTTTTGCAACCGGGAGTTAACCAGAAACCGGTAACTGATCTAAACCGTGATTCTTCTCTTTAGCATGCAAGAGAAACACTAGCTAAGATTAGGAGCTTAATCAATGGACATGGCTTCCGCTCCACCAGCGGTTGTTTCCTCGGTTATGTTCCTCTGCATCTCTTCCATTATACTCTTCTGTTCATCCTCCATTGTCTCCTGCAACTCATCCACCTGTGCATAAAAGTTTTCACCAAAACCCAAATTAAGAACAATGGAATTTTAGCTAATAAACACACACAGTGAAACAAGAATTTTAGCTGTATAACACAATGAAACTCGTAATATCGACATACCACATGCAACAACAACGCAAACTGCTTCTTCCTAAGCTCAAGAAGTCTCCAACTTGCAGTATTCTCGGCCTCGAGCTCTGCAATCTCCTTCTTCAACACATGTATAACCTTCTGAGTCTCTGACCTCGGTGGCTGCGCAGAGATAAGTTTCCTAATTGCCTCACACTCCTCTTTATGCTGTCTCTCTATTTTACTCTCCGCAAGCTGTTTCTTGAGACTTTCTATATCAGCTTGAGCCTGCATTATCTGCCGATTCGTCTCCTCTTTAAGCTCGTTAAAGTTCTCCTTCTCCCTAAGATTCGCAGCAACAACCGCTTGGCTCTTAAGAAGCGGAATCTCAAAAGCGTCAAGTTCTTGTAAGAAAGCTTTCGCGAGCCTACTGCACTCGCTGTAGTTATCTTCTTCTTTGTCAGCTTCGATAACGAAAGAAGTGAATTTCTTCTGAAGCTTCTTTAATGGAGGTTCGCCTCTCGTGGTGGTCGTCCGTGTGAGAAGCCTATTTCTGATTATTCTGTCATCTTCTAAAGGATCGAAGGCGTAATTAGCTGCTATAGTCTCTGACCTACCAGAAACAGTCCTCCTAGCTCTCACTGACATCTTACCTATTAGACTCTCTTTCACTCAAATCTGCAGAGCAAACACAATCCATAAGCTTAAGCAAATACGATAAGTATTCGAAAATTCAGAAAAATTATTAGAACCATACACTTAAATCTATGAAAGCTACAAAATTGCTCAACACAATGAGAGCAGTAAGGTGGTTTTGAATAAGTATACTCGATACACATGGGAGTTTACAGAACAGAATCGAAACATTCGAATTACTAGTTTAGCGGTAAACGGTTTCATAGATTTTGATTTCTTCTTCTCGTCTTCAAAATCGTTCAATGACAAGTTCCGTTGAGAGAGATTTACCAAATAGATAATCTAAAAAATAGAATCTTTCACTTACTTGAACCGAACCCAAGAGCAAGACACCTCTTCTACGATCACAGTCACAGAGAAAATTATAGATTCAGATGCACGGAGAACCCTAATTCGTTTCCATCCTTCCCCTTTCCCTCGTTCCTCAATTTACTGGTTTTTGTTTTCCGCTGTGTTTCATGCGTAATTGCACAAAAGCTCCTGAACTTTCATTTTAAAGTACATTTTCTTTTTTTAATTACAAAAGAAACCTTCACTGTAGTGAAATTGGTTTAGAAGCATTGGATTATTATCGAGTTAATTTCTTTTACTTTATATGGAGAAAATTCAGTTTTTGTTCGAAATCCATTTTGATTTTTCCGCTATCAACTTCATACAAATTTCGAATACCATCTCTCTGATTTATTCGGTCTCTAGCTAAAATTTGCCAAGGTATTCATGACCGGATGTGAAGAAGAACCTGGTTAACGCTATATACGGCTGTTTATAATTCATCGTATACAAATTAGACATTTTTTCCGAATAAATCCAACATAAATACTATTACTAGGACCAATCTGGTTTACTGAATTCAACCGAAATTATACAAAAGTCGATCCAAAAACCGAAACTGGTTTACTGACAGAGGATCAAGGCAAGAACAAAGAGCACGCCATTGCTACCATACCAACAAAAAAGCTGAGATTTCTTTTCCGCCATTAAACCACAAAACCATCTTTCAACAAGCTAACTAATTAAAGACTTTCAGAAGATAGAAACTATCAGAATATTTACATTTTTTTTATTACACAACACACAAAAAGATCATAACCAGAGCTTAATGTAGACACGGAAATGAATGATTTTACAGAGTCAAAATGAATCAGTTGATCCCACTAAACGTAATCGTACCCGGACGATAATCTTTCGGATGCAAGGTTTCGTTTGGTCTGAGTGGGCAAGAGACACCGCGAGTTGTCTTTGCATTTAAGCCATTTCAAGCCTTTCTCTTCGTGCTTCATTGTCAGCTTTGACGTGACTGATTTGATTCCGCTCCTCATATAATTCAGAACCAACACCGCAAGATCTCTGCAATGCAACCACCATATATGAAAAAAAAACTGCAAAAAAGAATTTAAAATGCCAAAAAGAAAAACTAGTAGGCGTTTTGTACTTACAAGGGTGAGCAAGGAGATCGAGAGCCGTTGATGAAGTAGACGAACAAGTAAGAATCGAAATGCTGGCCGTTGATTAGGTAGAATCCTTGTAACCTCCTAACACATCTGAAACACATTCTCTTGTACAATCGGATTGCGGGATTGTTGTGTGCAATGACGTGAAGGTAAACACCACGGCACACATGGATACTAGCCGCGTACTTGATGACCTCGTTGATAAGCGACTTAGCTACCAAAACAAAAAAAAAAGAGTTGCACAACTTAATGTTAACAAAACCAAGCAAGAGAAGAGGAGAATCAATAATAATCCATAATCAATAATACCTATTCCGCGTTTTCTGTAGGTTTCTACTACTCCAAGTGTTAGGACGTAAACCAATGTCTCCTCTCCCTTTGACGAGTCATATCTTATTAGCTCTGATATCTGCGCAAGACAGAGAAAGCTATCAACATACAAGTTTGCACCATGATCAAGATGTTACAAAAGTGACTCTGGTTGATTTTTAAGAACTTTTTGTGACAAGCCCATCTGATGATCATGGCTTTGAAGCTCAAGCTTAAACCATGGGAAATTATGAAATATTTCGAAAACATTCAAAAGCCTACAGTTTATAATAACTAGGAGATCTCAGTACAGAACCCAAAAGGCGAAGAACGAAGAGAAGGACATAATGCTTTAAAACCCATCTGGTAAACCTTAAGAAAAGCTGCTAAAATTGTAAAAAGATTTGATTTTTAGAGAATGTGTATCTCGTGAAACTGGTTCAAACATTCAAAATCTATACTTTACAAGACACTGCAGCTTTCTTCATAGAAGCTAAAAGAAAGCGAAAGAAGGAAGAACATGTTCAGAAGGAAGAAACAAAAAAAGGAAAAGAGACTGACTTCGCTTTCTTTGGCAAGCACGATTTTGGCAGTAACAAATCCAATAAGTTCCTCAGAATGACCATCAGGACGGCTCCGATCAACAGCAGCCCAAGAGATGATATCACCTCCGTTTACAACATTCTGAAAAAACTCAGACTCATACCTGAAGAAATCAATTTCCGAAAAGGGAAAGTCAAACCCGAAAACCAGATACATGTCAAAATCGTCCAAGCAAAAGGAATTCGAACTACCTGATTGGGAATATGTCGCGATGGATTTGCTCCAAACGCTCTAAATCAGAAGGGTTTATTGGTCTGAAGCATATAGTTGGACGATGAGGGATTTTGGGTTCCTCCATTGATGAATTCTCCATGAATCCACGGGGGAAACGCGACATTTCGCAATAACATAGACTCAAACAACCTCGAATTCTAGATTTCTGATACTTCTCATTTGAGCCCAACAACAACAAAAAAAAGAGAGATCAAATCGGCCTCACACCCGTTTCTAAGATTCGGATCCAGGTGTGTTAGGGTTTTCAGAATCCGAAGATGGGTTTGCTGATCTGCAAAGCTTTCGCGGAGTGAAATGAATCGAAAGAAACGACTTTTTGGAGAAGAAGATGAAGGAAAGGTAGTAGTTGCTTGCTTTGCCGTATCGTTATGGCTTGAAGCGAAGCATCTTTGAATTCTTGGGATCACCTCACGTGCCTTTGCGACAAACAAGCACGTGCATCTTCGTCTTACAAAATCTTCCATGAATGAATGAAGAAGAATCATAATTAATCTTTTACTAGATGAATTTTTCTTTTCCTTTTTGTTTTTGTTTTTTCCTGTATTTAAATCGTTCCTAAAAGTTAATAATATGACAACCTGCCATTTGTTACATGCTAGTATTAAAAAATTTAGAAACCAATAAAAGAGGACTTGTTATATAACATTATGGAATCAAGAATCACTTACAAAATAAGTAAGTGGCACCACCAGTTTTTGGATAATTAGAACCTATGTTATTAGTACTTGATTACACAAATGTGATATTACAAGAGTCGATTCAAAGAAAGAAAAGAACAAAAAATATACAATAACAACACTGTTAGATTGATTGGCATATATTGGTTAAACTGAATAACAATGGATTTCAAACACTTTTAATAAAAGAGATCATAAATATAAGAACCAATAACATTAAATTTAAAAATATGTTAATGAAAATATTTTAAATACAATAAATTAATAACAGTAGATTTTAATAAAGGAGTTAAAATTAATCACTGAATAACGGTAGATTATAAAACCTAAAGAAATAACTTCAAATTCATGGAACTAAAGTAACTTTCAACTAAAGTAACTTTCAACTAATATATAAACTTTCGTCCATCATATATATATACCCACAAATAAAATCAAACAGCAAACAACAATTTTGCTTTGAGTCTTATATCTGCTGGTAAAAAAGTTGTAACAGAAATGGCACAAAAAAATAATCAGCTAAATTAGCATTGAGATGAGACACTTATATTTGCTATAAAATTCAGATACTCGTAGACAGTATTTGAGAACAATAGAGGATGACCAGAGGCTCTGGTGTAACCTGTCATTATCATGCATAAAGGCTAGACCTTTCTTTGTACCCTGTAGTCTAACTTTTACATGGTAGCATTGCTACGTAGGAGGAACATATAAGAACAATACAACTAACATGTTGGTCTTGGAAAGATGAAAAAAAAACTAAAACAGTCGACTACTATACATTTTGTAAATTAGTTGTTTCATTTCCAACAATTCGTATAACAACAATGATAGTATATGGAAACATTCATCCCTAACAAGAAATATATATATATATATATATATGGACTTAACCTCACAATTAATACAATGTCTATATTAGTATAATTAATAATGTTGATTAAATAATTTCGCATTGTACATATCTGCTGTTTTTTTGTTGGTCAAAATACATTTCTTCTGTTTCAAAATATAAAATTAGAAATAAATATTACTTAGATACTCAAAATAAATTTAAATAGGATTATTCTTTTTTTGGAATTTGTTGTCCAATTACTATATAGCATAAGAAGTAAAAATAATTTAAAGGGACTGCAATTCAAACCAACAACATAGAAATATCTATTCAATTCAAACTAAAATAATAAATATATGGTTATCGACGTGAAACAACATGAAGACTAAAAATAAAGTGATAATTCGGTACATAAACTTCCCACATTATATATATACCTCCACAAATCAAATTAAACAAACAAAAATATCAATTTTACTTCGAGTTTTGTATTTCTAAAACAAAAAGTTACAACAGAAAATGACAGGAAAAATGTGTATCGTGATGACGATCATGGTGGCATTGTTAGTAATGGAATGTGGTTTAAAAACATGTAATGGAATGGATACTAATGAAACAAGAAAAAATCCTCTGTGTTTCAAAAAATGCATTACCAAATGCCGCATAGATGACTATCAGTGTCAGTTGCATTGTAGCGCCATCTGTGATACCCCACCATCGTCTCTATCCGAGTAAGTACAGCATTTTTGTATTTTTAAAACTAAATTTTGATTATCAATATATATATTTATGTGTGTGTGCGTGTGTGATATTAATTTGTGATGATACAAAGGGGGAAAGCAATGATACCAAATCAAGGAAGGAGCACCATCTGCTTCAGAAACTGTAGCCTCGTATGTGGTGATGATTCAGCTTGTATGAAGCGTTGTCTGAAGACTTGTATTGCTACTCTTTTTTAATTTTCATACAAAAATATTAATTTCGATTATGATCCATGATTTTTGATACCACGGTTAAATTTTATATAAAGTGTTATAATTGAGAAAAACTAATAATTTTTTGGTTATATATGGTTGTCAAAACTCAATTCGAAAATACATACAATTGTATAACTATATCATTAAACAATCATCAAATTTAGTTTCGCTATCCCACGGTTTTATCAATAAAATATATCCAATCATATAAATACTAAAAAACTACAAAATTAAACATAATCCATAATTGTTTTTGCTAATGTTGAGCAGTGATGCAGAGAACATTTAAATTGAATTGTATTAATAAGAAGATTAAATTAAAGATATCACAAGTTTATTGTATTAAAAAATTAATTCAAAGATATTGTCAATTTTTTGACCAAAAAATAAATATATTGCAAAATTATTGTATTAACAAAAAATTAAATCAGAGATATTGCAATTCAAACAAAAATTGTAAATAATTATTTAATTTAAACCATAATTATTGTTCTTCAAAAGAGAAAGAACAACAAAAATAATGGAAATGAAGTAACATTCAGTTAATATATAACTTTCGTGCATCAGTTAATATATACCCACAAATAAAGACAAACAACAAACAACAATTTTGCTTTGAGTCTTATATCTGCTGAGGAAAAGGTTGTAATAGATATGGCACCAAAAATGTGTGTGATTATGATTGTGATGGTATTGCTAATAATGGAATCTCGACTAAAAGCATGTTGTGGAATGAAAACCAATGAAACGAATAAAGACTGCATTATCAAATGCGACCAAGATGATTACCAATGTCAGACACATTGTTACAACGTCTGCGAAACCCCCACACCATCGGCTCTCGTAGGGTACGTACGTACATTGCATATATGTTAGTATTTTCTTTTGAATATATAGTAATGATGTATGTATTTGGTCTTAATTCGTGATGATGATACAAAGGGAGGAACCAATAGTACCAGAACAAGGCAAGACTGCCATATGCTACAAAAATTGTAGCATCAAATGTGGCACTGACGCAGATTGTTTAGTACCTTGTGTAAAGAAATGCCCCAGAACTACCACTCTTTATTAATTCTGATACAAAGTATATTCACTACTATTATATGATCCAGGTTTTGTCACAAAAATTATGCGACCATATACCGTCCATCAGTGCATGAATAAAAAACAGATTGATGATATAAAAGAAACCCACCAAATATTATTATATTTTCAGAAAAATAGAAGAATGATTAACAACAGTAGGTAATTACGTTAATACATAATATTTCTAATCTCTTCTCAATTAACAACGCCGTTCAAAAATCGATGACTGAGAACAGTTTCCGCCACTGGACGTTTCCTATGGTCAGCGTACAACATTGCCTACCAAAATACCACCACACACAAAGTTTAATCTCATTTATTTTAAAATGTAACTTTATTTATATTTGATTTTTGAAAACTACAACATCATCAAGCTCATTTCTATTTTATATCTCACCTTGTTCAGTTTACTATGAAGTATGAACAAAGATGGATGCAGAGAAAACTGGAGGGACTAAAATACCTGGAGCAATTCCCAACCAGCTCTATCACCAAAATCCAGAAACTTAACAGCTTCTTCCAAGCGTTCATCGGCTAAACAGTACCTGTATAAAAAGTTTGGTGAGCTTTTTCAAACACACACACTTGGTTCACTAAATAAATAGTTGCTAAGTATAGATAATTTTAGTTATTCTGGATATAGCAAGAGGCTTACTCTCTTACTGCCTCAATATCCAGCCGGAATGTGTTTTCCAGTAGTCTCTGCAGTTCATCAGAGTAAGCTACGGTTAACCAAAAACTATTTGGAGAAGATATATCCAACACAAAAAGATGAGAGCTGATATATAGAGAGACTGTAGTTAAGATGAGCAAAACAGAGCTGTTTATATTATTCATATAGTAATCTTGCCTGAAGAGAAAGAGAATCCATTACGCCTGCTTCACAGAAAGGAACAAAGGCTAAGTAGGCAAAAAGAAGACCGGCTTCATATCTGTAAACCACAAGAATGTGTTATACCTTTATCAGAAAAAAAAAACATTCGCAACCTAGAACATGAAAGGCTTGGAAAGCAAAAGCATTACATGTCATCTGCAATCCCAAAAGCTCTCTTTTCAAAAACTGTGAAGGCGCTAGAAGCAGTTGCCCTTCGCCAAAGCTGCTCTGATAGTGCACCAGACGTCGCTCCTTCTTCCAAGCATGATGGTCTGTAAGGTAAACTCAGTCTATTAACAAAGAGTTCATATAAGGCGCTATCATTATTAACGAATCTAGTGGCCAGTTATATACAGCAAGACCAAATTGGCAGAAGAATATGACGATAAAAAAACAACCAGGGAGAGAAGATGACAAAGCGACGGAACCTTATATCAACAGAAAACGCTAGATCTCGCAGCCTCGGTATTAGATATATGGCTTCTCTCTCCGCTGATGTACTAAAGATAATATTACCACACAAAAAAAAAACAATCAACTAAATTAGCAATGAGATGATACACTTATATTGAGGGAGAGATGTGCGCTACAAATTTCAGATGTTCGTAAGGAGGCATACTTGAGAACAATAGAGGATGGCCCGAAGCTCTGGTGTAACCTGTCATTAGCATGCATAAAGGCTAGACCTTTCATTGCACCCTGTAGGATCTTGATGACAAAGTTTCTCCTTCGTTTCATCGTCTGCTCTTTTTCAAAAGGGTTCCATACTCCTTGAGAGCGAGCTCTTGATGTTTTTTCACTCGCAATTCGTGCGTAGTCAGCAGCGCTATCTTTCCCACCATCACGAAAAGCCAGCCACTATATACATGAATCAAATTCAACCCATGTTCCATAAGTTATGCCAAAATCTCCACAAACTTGTTCCAGCTTACACTCAAACAAACAAAGCTCAACAATCAAGTGCTTCAAATCGTAAGCCTGACCTGTTCCCCAAATTGTGTCTCGAAGCCACCAACAAGTATAAGCAGGTTATCTGGCAGGTTTTTACTACTCTGCAAAGACAAGCGGAATAATAAGATGATTGAAGTATTATCAGCCGATGAAATTAACAATTTCTGCAAGGCTAATTATCAAACCTGGAGAAAAGAATGTGCATTCAACTCGTTTGCTGCCATCATGTCAGCCTCAATTCCACCAGCACGCTGTCCAGGATAGACCTTTACAGAGAGAGAGAGAACAAATCCGACGACTGTAAGACAGAACATCAAAACATAACATGCCCTGATGATGTAGAAAAATTCATGAAAATGGAAAATGCCTTCAGGAAAACAGCAAAATCTTTGCTGAGAAAAATAAAGAAGATAAAAAGAAATCACCTTAAAGGTAATAGGTGTTCCTCGAAATGGACCCTGAGATATTCTTCCTTCATATAGTCTGCAGACAAACTGCCGTGGCTAATACATTTTTTAACTCGACCAAATATATCACTGTCTGTAGTAATATAGTCTACATAACGCCAAAAGTGAACCTGATTTTAACACCGCCTTCTCCGATGTCTTGAGCTTTTAATCGCCCAATATCATCGGATGTATATTCAACTTCAGGTCCTGACTGCAACCCTGTATAACTAGAGGGTATAAAAGAGGTGAAAGCTTAGAAAACGAACGCCAGGTAAAGAGAAGCTTTGATATATCTTAACACGAAGACGCAGAAGCTCCAGCTAAAGAGAGAAGAAAAGAATATTCAGAGAGAGTACCTTGTTACATTCATGAATCCGTAGCTTCCGATTAGCCTCCCTACCTCGAACGAATCAGCGCTGGTGATCAAACTTGCCGTCACCGCATGCAGCCGCCGAGTCGGCCGATTCCTTCCACGCCAATTCACAATCCGACGACCGGGGAATCCTTCGATTGAATCTCGATGGATCAAAGATAAACGCGAAACGCATTCGAAGGAGATACGATGAACAGCGACCGGATTCATCGTTTTGTTTTGTGTTTCGCCGCCTCACTTCAACTTTTCTTTCAATTATTCAATTTTGAACGAGTGTCAGTCAATACGAGAGAGAGATAAGAGCCATGAAAGTTTTCTCTGCGTCCTACGTGGCTTTTTATATTAATAATTAAATAATATAATCGAACGCCGGATAGGTTAATCTTATTATTTTGACGGTGTGTAATAAGACACGTATAAAACTCAACGAGTAAATTATGCGAGAGAAGAAGCAGCGATGCAGAAAAAGCTGCTATCGTTGCTACGTGTACTTACTAAACCGACTTAAAACCGAACCATCGTTGCTACGTGTACTTACTAAACCGACTTAAAACCGAACCAAAACGACATACACGAAATGAAATTCGGTTGAAATGTAATTCCCAACAAAATAAACTTAGGCTGTAACTGGTAACAGCTGAATTGCTGAATTTACCTGAATTTCGTGAAAGTGTTCAGAAACCGCATCAAATTTGTTTTTTTCTGATTGAATTTCACAATATTTCTTTGGAACCGAACCGAATTTCACATACCGAAGAAATCGAACGGAAGAGACTTAACCGAAATGACCATGCCTGCTCGCTTTCTCGAGAAGTCTTTCTCCTTCGGCTTTAAGGGAAACGATCAAGATTGGCTCTTTAAACACTTGAGAGATAGAGAGAGATAGATAGTCTCTGTAGGTGTTTGAGCTTGACGAGAACGGAAGGGTGATCATCTTTGAAGGTGGAATCGATCTAAAGCTATTTTGGGATCAATCAATCAATCAATCAATCGGCTGCTTCACTGAGTAGTTCTTACTTGCTTTCGGAGTGATGGAATCGGTTCCGGAATCCGTACCATCTGCGAACTCAAACTTGCCATCTATACCGCCGCCGGTGAACTCGGTGCCGCCGTTTTTGAGCAAAACCTACGACATGGTCGATGATCCGTCGACCAATGAGGTCGTCTCCTGGAGCAGCGGGAACAACAGCTTCGTCGTCTGGAGCGTGCCGGAGTTCTCGAAGGTGCTCTTGCCAAAGTATTTCAAGCACAACAATTTCTCCAGCTTCGTCAGGCAGTTAAATACATATGTAAGCATCACTCTTTCTGGTAAATTTCAAGAATAAAACAAATTTGGATTGAACAGTTTTTATCTGGGTTTTGGTAGCACAACTTGAGGAAATCGTGAAAGTGTTGAAGTTTTTCAGGGATTTCGTCTTAGTTCAGTCTCTTCTTTGCTGTTAGAAAGCGTTAACCAATGGTATTTGTAAAGTTTATTCTGAGAAAAGTGAAGTAGTAGGCATCAATATAGGTTATTGCATAGGGTTTTGTATCTAATGGGCGTTTGATTGTTCTTGCATCTTGTGAAACTGGTTTACTCAGTAGAAATATGCAAAGATGTTCTATCTGGTTTAAACTATATAGCTTACCATGGTGGATTAGTGGCTAGATTGGATTTTTTGAAATCTTGTCAAGTTAATCTTTGTACTCACCAAAAGATTCCACAGAACTTTGCAGGGTCACTTTCACATATGCCTGAAGATTGGTTTCCTCAATTCCTTTCTGCCTTGTAGCTCTAAATCACAAAACAGAATGTCTATCAGTTGTCTGAAAATTAGCTTTGCTTTCGTTTGTATATGTCCGTCCAGGTACATGTTGATATAACTAAGAGCCTATTTCTTTCCTTATACCGTGGTGAAGAAGTCGTTTCCTTCTCAGACTGATGTTTTAACTAGAATATTTGTATAATCATGGCCCAAGAAAGGTTGTTAGTCTGGAACTGTTTTGTGGTCTACCGGTTTATACATTTTCGTACAATCAAGTTATGTTGGCTTTCTTCTTCAAGCAGCTTCAGTTTCGTTGCATTGTTCCAATTCTTTAATTTGTTCGTTGATCTCTATAGTCTCTCTTTATTCTTATGTCCAGGGTTTCAGAAAAGTTGATCCAGATCGATGGGAATTTGCAAATGAGGGTTTTTTAAGAGGCCAAAAACAACTACTGAAGGGTATTCATAGGAGAAAACCTTCGCATGTGCAGCAGAATCAGCAACGAACTCAAGTTCAGAACTCGTCTGTTGGTGCTTGTGTGGAGGTGGGGAAGTTTGGAATAGAAGAGGAAGTGGAAAGACTTAAGCGGGATAAGAATGTTCTCATGCAAGAACTCGTCAGGTTAAGACAGCAACAACAAGCCACAGAACACCAGCTGCAGAATGTGGGACAGAAAGTTCAGGTGATGGAGCAGAGGCAGCAACAAATGATGTCGTTTCTAGCAAAGGCTGTTCAAAGTCCAGGTTTCTTAAACCAGTTAGTACAACAGAATAATGATGGCAACAGACATATTCCGGGAAGCAACAAAAAGAGGAGACTTCCTGGAGATGAACAGGAGAATTGTGGAGGCCATGGGGCTAATGGTCTTAACCGCCAGATGGTTAAATATCAGCCATTGATAAACGAAGCAGCACAAGCGATGCTCAGGCAGTTTTTAAACACTAGTAGCTCACCTCAGTATGAATCGGTTTCGAACAATCCCGGCAGTTTCCTCCTGGGTGATGTTCCCAGTTCCAACTCTGTAGACAATGGAAACTCCTCAAATACAGTTTCTGGAGTAACTTTGGCGGAGGTTTCATCTAACTCAGCTCACTCAGGGATGAGTCAAGTACCTGAAGCAAGTTTTGCTCATCATCCTCAAGCTGGTCTGGTTCAGCCAAACTTAGGTCCAAGTCCAACCCAAGGAGTAGCAGCTGCAGCTTCTTGGAGTCCTGAATCTGATTTAGTTGGATGCGAGACAGGTAATGGAGAGTGTTTCGATCCAATAATGGCTGTTTTAGATGGTTCATTGGAATTAGAAGGCGATGCGATTTCTCCTGAAGGCGATGGCGAGATGAGTGAGTTACTGAACGAGAACCCTAAGCTGCCCGGAGTCCAAGATCCATTCTGGGAACAGTTCTTTACTGATGAATTACGAGTGACTGGAGATACAGATGAGATACTACCAGCAGCAGTGGAGAATAGTGACCTGGTGATGGAGCAAGAACCGAACGAGTGGATCCGGAATCAACAACAAATGAAACATCTTGCTGAACAAATGGAACTTCTTTCCTCAGAAACACAGAGGAAACGAAGGTAAGAAACACAGTTTCATGTAAACCATGTTTCTCTGCATTGGTGTTCTGTCTTGAGAGTGATCATTTGTTTCTCACAAATGTAGAGGTTCAGGGGAGATTGTGAAGGGGGTATAAACGAAAGAGGAGGAAATATATAGACGGTGTCTGTAATATGTTTACCATTTAGTCCTTTACATTTTGACTTGGATACACAAAACGTTGCAAAAAAAAAGAAGAGAAGAAACGTAAAAGATTTACTACTCCCATGCTTGTAAATAAAAGTAGAGATCGCTCTCTGTGATGTTCCTATTCTATAATACTTTTGCGTGAACGTCCATCGTGTTCAAATATAACATATGACGGTAATCTGTGGGGTGCCGGAACGAGTCAAGAAAAGAAAATAGAAGACTGCTTTTCATGTTTACTAAACCAACATTATGATATTTCTTGCTCATAAGATCCTTCAGATGGATTTAATACATAACGCATTCACACAATGAGGAGAAGATTCAATTCTATTGAATGGGAAGAACGTTGGAGTATAAAGAATCTGTACAATAGATATACTTCTTCAATGGGTCTTTTGTATTAGTTTCATAGATTTGTCTTTGCCTTGATGCTCTAAGCTTGGAGTTTGATGCTTCATGCTCAGACCAAGACAACAATGATGACAATGAGTAGCACAATCCCAAAAATGAGAATAAGTAGGCATGTCTGCAACAAAGTAAAACATATCAAATTTTAGCTTTAGCTGCTTAAAATACGACGGAATCATAGAATTGAAAATTTGAGAAGAGAGTTTCTCGAGGGTGTGTACCAAAGATGAGTTTGCTCTTTGAGTTTTAGATGCTTTTCTGAGTTGAGAAGTGGCTTGTGCAGTCGCAGCATGTGAATTATCAATGTTAGAGCTGATGTCATCTGCCAAATAAACATTATAGTTTTATTCTGAGATTTTAAAGAGGCAAAAAGAAAGCAGATAAATTAACGATTTCTGATTGTTGTGGTTACTTACCAATCATTATTCCTTGATCGTTCACTAAAACAGCTAGGTCTTTGAAGATTTCATTCACTTCACCAATCTGTTCTTGAATTTCTCTAATTCCTTGCTCTCTTTCCTCAATAATTGCTTCATTGAATGTTATCTCGTTATCCAAAAACACCACTTCTTGCCTGGAATGAGAAAAGTAAGAAGTTATTAGCATGTCGCTGCAAGATATGAGTTAAAGTGACAAAAGCCCAAACTGAGAAAATAGATCTAATGGTGGTGGAACTTCGAAAATTCTTATTAACCCAAATCTTATACTCAGTTACATATCTCATTAAGGAGCAAAAAGAAAAGTGAAATACTGTCTGAATTCTCAAACTTCATGATTGACTCACATTTTGGGTGGGTTCTATTTAGGCTAAACAAATGATCAAGAGAATTAGCAAGATAATATAGTGTAATACACAGTCGAATCATACTCATCACCTTCTTGCCTGTAGAAGAAGAGTTTGCTGCTGGGAGGTCCTTGAAGGTTCAGTATCAATTTCCTGTGCATTATAGCTGCATAGAGTGGCATAACAATGAAGCATCTCCACAAACTATCAGTAACTAACAATTCATTATCTAATGTTTCTTAACAGGAGTATTAAAAGTGTACCTGGTAGGAATTTCTTTTGAAACCACAGGAGTATATGTTATTTCTCTTTCAGCTGCAAGTCTCTGAGCTTTCTGAAACTCTTTGAGAACTGACTGGAAATCTTTTGCTAGTTTAGCATCCGCAATCTTCTTAATTGGCTACGAGATAATATATAAACATAACATAGAATTAGGAATAATGTATATTATGGTAAATGTTTTCTCTCGCATCTAACATTTCACTAGACACCGAACGAAAATGAAACGAAGATGCAAGCATTTTCTTACACTAGCTGCTCCATGGAGGTCGGCTTCGCTAGCTTCCTTAAGTTTGGCTGAAGTATTCTTCACCAGTTCTGATATCTGTAACCTTGTCTTTTGTCTGCCAACAAAAGAAACAACCAGTTTAAGACAATTTGCAGAAAAATAGATGAAAATATTCTAAAAGAACAACTGCTCGATACACACAAAAGTAAACTCGAATAAAAAGAGAGCATTGTTTGCAAAAAATAGTAATTGTTTTCTCTACCATTACCAATGATAACCCAAAAGCCTTAATTATAACGCATCGTTCAGCCATTTTGATTTTTTGTGCAGGATGAGGTTCAAAACAATAAGAATCTTTAAACTAACCCATGAAGAATTCGTTAAAGAACTATTAGACAATCGTAATCAAAATTAACAATCGTTTTAATTCAGGGAAAAATCAAAACAGCCTATAAATTATTGATAACTGAAACAAAAACCCTAATTAACTCCGATATTTAACAAACAGGGGAAGAGTGAGGGAAAAAAAATTGCAACTAACAGCTTTTCTCGCAATTCAAGAGTATCTTTGGGCGTTCCGATCGAATTAACGAGGCGGAAGAAGGAATTGACAGCCGTGCTGATCCTGAAAATTCCGGCAGCTACCTCCTGCGACGGATCCCCACGAGACGGAGGTCTCTGCGGCCTCCCGCCGGCAAAACGATTGGCCGCCGTAAATCGATTGCCAGCTTCGAGATCTTGGAAACTCATCCTCTTCTCTCTCGAATCTCTCAAATCTCTATCTCTTGGGTGAACGAAGAGGAAGAAGGGGAAGAGTTAGGTAATAAGTTTTCCAAATTTATTGTTATTTTTTTTAATTGCATAAACTATATATCTCATGTGGTCGGCGTGTATATTATGGTGGTGGAGGGAATTTATTAATACGTACAAATTATTGGGCGGAGCTGCCACGTCATTGCGAGGGAAGGATCCTGCGCTGTCGTAGTTGACCCGCGCGCTTTCCCGTTTAAAAGTGAACCTCGGTCCGTTTAAACCGGACAGATTCAATTCCTAATTGTACCAAAGCAGAGTCAATCAGCAAAACAAAACCAACTCAATTCAACTTGTTAGCTGTCTCATGTGTTTGGCTTTACTGGTTCCAGATAAAATCAGTAATTGAACTCATGTCAAATCATAATTTGAAGGTTTTTAAAAAAATAGATTGACGAATTCGTGATATGAGTTAAGAGTGTTCATTTGGGATAAAACCAATATTAATCGACCAGATACCGTAAAAAGAAAACAAAAAGCTAATATAAAGCAGTCATCGGAAACTATAATTAAAGGTATTACCAGCTAGTATAGCCTAATTATGGGCAAACTTTGCATAAACACGCTGTGTGACATTATCATTAACAATACAATTTAAGTGGAAGAAAGTTACGCAAGCTTTAAAATCCTTGTACTATTTTAATTCAAAACATGAATCCAACTTAAAAAATACAAATAGTTTGAGAATACTCATCTTATTAGATTGAGAAGATACTCTGGTTTTACTTACCAGTAAAGAAAGGCAAATAAAGAAACCAAGTTGCGACAATATCGCCTTATTACATCAAAACGAAAAACACATAACAATATTATTACGAAGCTGTTGAATCGAGAAAAGGGTAGTCGGTGTAACCAACGACGGGATCAGAAGTGTAAAACGTTGATCTATCGTACTTGTTAAGCGGCGCATCAAGTTGAAACCTCTTAGGCAGGTCCGGGTTAGCCAGAAACAACCGACCATAAGCCACAAGATCGGTTCTTCCCTCCGCCACCGCCGCATTCCCGTCTTCCTTCGTGAATCCTCCCGCCGCGATGAAAGTCCCCGAGAAGGCTTTCCTCATCGGCGTCGTCGTGTGAGTACACTCTCCTATCTCTCCAATTGTTTTCATCCTCGGTTCGACCACGTGGCAGTAGAGGATTCCGTATTTGTTCAGAGACTCCGCCATGTGAAGAGCTAACGCTTGCGGGTTAGTGTCTGCTGAATCCATGTAGTCAGCGAACGGAGAGAGCCTGATTCCAACGCGATCAGGTCCGATCTCGTTCGCAACCGCTTCGACTATGTCTAGAGCGAATTTGCAACGTTTCTCCAACGATCCGCCGTACTCGTCGGTCCTGTCGTTCACCGTGTCCTTCAGGAACTGGTCGATCAGGTAGCCATTAGCGCCATGAACCTCGACTCCGTCGAAGCCTGCAAACACCAACAACATATTCAAGGACACATAAATATATATAAGAGGATTAGCTTCTTGAATTTCAAAACGTGGGTTTGATTTGCTTACCAGCTTCCATAGCGTTTCTTGCAGCAAGCCTGAAATGGTTGACAATGGTGGGGATCTCTTCGGTGCTTAAGCGTCTCGGAGGTGTAAACATGTCTTCGACGTTGGCTGGAGGCGTCAATGGCTTGTCCGTACAAGAGATCGGAGCTTGCCCATTTGGCTGATAACTTCGATTAGAAACGCGGCCGACATGCCAGATCTGACAGAAGATGAAGCCGCCTTTGGCATGAACAGCATCCACGATTGGCTTCCATGCCTTCACCTGCTCTTCAGTCCATATCCCTGGCGCATCTTTATACCTTCAAGAACCAGATCACGCAAATGTGGATCAGATCAAAACCCACGAAATAAAAGCCTAAGCTTTACTAATCAAACTGAGCTACAGAGATGGGAAGAAAATAGTTACCCTTGAGCTGTATCTGAGACTGAAGTGGCTTCAGTGATGAGTAAACCTCCAGGGCTGGCTCTCTGGGAGTAATATATGGCAGCATGAGGCTGAGGAACGTATCCGTACGATCTCTGTCTCGTCAATGGTGCCAGAACAACCCTGAATCATTACCCAAAAAAAAAAAAAATCAAGCTTTTTTATTGTATTGTAGGGATGAGAGTTTTAAGGCCCATCGAAAACGAGAAAAAAAAAGGAAGAATATATTCAGATGTTATGCTTATACATACCTGTGGGAAAGATTGAATCTTCCCATCTTATAGGGCGTGAGGAGAGGGATACTCGGTTTTGTTACTGCGTTTTCCATTTCTGATGGTGGATTTGTTCTCTGTGATTATTTCTGTTAAAACAATTTGAATGCTGTGTTGAAGAAGATGGATGCTGTGCGTACCCAGCTTTATAGAGGCCTAAAAAGTCTAAAACCATCTTTATCAGGTGACTTTATATGAGGCTCTTAATATTTGAATAAGAAATTGGTGGCCTAAAAGCTATTGCATTTTTTCAATACAAGCAAGGCACGACTCTCATGAATATATCTGCACATTATACACATTGATGGACGTCGATGTCATTGTGAATGCATCCATGGACCTCACCAACTTGCATTTTTCTTCATGACGTATTCATCTACGTATTCAAACAGTTTAAAACTTTGAACTTCTTCCACTAATTTTGGATTTGGACTTTTGATCCATTCTAGCGACTTTCAATCAACTTTTTAGTTTTGTAAAGTTTGACTTACCCAACCAACAGAAAAAGAAAGATACCAGAATTGGAGGAAGATGCTCTGTTTTGAAGTCGACTATGCTGTTTATTGTTTTAAAATCTGTAAACTAAAAATAGTTAAAAGAAGGTTTTGAATCCACTAATCAGTTTAGACCAGATTTTGATGGAATTACTGTACTAACAATGAAAATGAATCATCCATTTTTTTTATAGAATGAAACAGAAACTTCAAATCAATCCACTACATATTATTTGAGAAGTAACATTATTAAAAATAGTTGATTTGTCAACATTACAACCAAAGTTAGTGTTTTTAATTGATGACATGTAAATGTGATATGTCAAACTTCATAAAATAAATGAAATGTTTTGATTAGTTTAATTAAAATTAAAGAACTTATGGAATTAAAACATAAAAACACTAGATTATATTTATAACACTAAAATTAACAAATTTTAAATTAACAAAAAATAATTATTATTATGATTTTAATGTTTTACATATATTCATAATTTCATAAAATATAATTAAAAAATACTTTCAAAAAAAAAAAAAATATATATATATATATATATTTCAGATGAAATCGAAAAAATAATACTAAATTATCTAATAGAATAGTAAAGATTTTATATATTAATAATGTTTGAATTATGATATATTTTTATTTTGGAAAGTAATTAATTTACAAAATATAGTAATAACATCTAAACAAGTTTTAAATAAACAAATTATTAAATTATATAATTTTAAATAAAATACAATCATGATAAAAGATAATTTAAAGAATAAAATGTTAAAAAAAAATAAAAAAAACTTTTATTGAATTTTTTTTTTAAAACGTAATTTAAAATAAATGTTCTTTTCAAACCAATATTTACAAAATGAATAAAGTATATACTAATTATTGTTTTCTAATATTAATAGGACTATCTATTTTTATAAAACTTTTATCACATTTTTATTGTTGTTTTCTAAAATATACATAACTTATGTTACTATCTCATCTTATCTCTTATCATAGTTTAAATATAAAAAAATTATATATATATATATATATTCGTAATTTTTTTTATTGTATATCAAAAAATTTGAGATCATAAATGAAATAAAAAAATAACCGAACGAACTAATAAATTAAAATAAGATAAAATAAATATGAATAAGAATTAAAAATAGAGGTGTATAAAAATAAATCTCTCGCACTTTGTTTTACAAAGTCACTTAAAAACTTTTTAACATATTAAAGCCATATTTCGACTTTTTTACAAATACGTGTACAGACATAAATATTAATTGTGCATTAGTAGAAGTCACATGAACTTTTTTCGTGCATGTTAGTATGTGGTAAGCTTGATTACAGTCTAATTTATATTTTAATTTTTAAAGTACATTTTTTTTTTAAATATTTATCTGTTCTAAGTGTATCCACACTCGCATGTGAACTATCTATCCGCTCTTAGGATAAGTAAAAATAGAAAAAACTATTTCAATTTAATTTGCAATTAATAAAAAAAAATATACTTAAAAATATATTATATACATATTTCAAACTCATATTATGTAAGACATAAAAAATTATTGTAAATTGTGTAAGGTAAAATAAAATATATTATAAATGATATTCAAAAAATATTATAAGAATTTAGTTATTATTTAATATAACTTTTATATTTTTGATTATATATTATTACAAATTTCATAAAAATAAAAGGTTTTTAAAATACATTAGTTTCAGAAATAAGTTATAAAATACTAAAACAATATATATATATATATATATAAACATAATAATGTTTTAACTATGTATATCAAAAATATTATACCTGTACATATGTGCGGGCGAACCACCTAGTAGATTATTTATAATGTTTACATGACTTATTGTGTTTCCAGCTTCTTCTCATGAGATCTTCCTACTTCTAACATTGCTCTCAACACTTTAGAATCTAATTTAAGATCCCCCCAACAATCACATAATCCAAGGCATTTTTAATTACCAAGAAACAAATTTACTAACCAAATCCCACAACAATGCAAAGTAGAAATGGCCTGAATTCGAAAACTAAAGGCCAAACCAATAAGGAAACCGGGCTAACCAGGCGGTTCTACAGTACATAAAAAGGAAAGCTTGAACGCAGTTTGTTTCCACCGGAGTCTGCTTTCACCGGTGGCGTGAGGTTTTTGATTGTAAGGCTCAAACCTAAAGCCCAATGTGATGGAGATAAGGCCAACTTTTTCCCCCGCCGATTGTTACTTTAACCTAAAGCCCAATGTGATGGAGATAAGGCCCGTTTTGTTTTTTCTTTCCACACAATTTGGAAAATAGCAAGTGAAGCAGGTAATAAATAATTATTTTCATGTAAGAATTTGGTCATTTTAAAAGTTTTAAATTAAACTATTTTTGCTTACGAATGCATATAAAAAATGGTAGAACAATTTTTTTTAAAAAACTTTCTCATTATTTTTAAGTTAAAAACTTATTTTCATAATAAATATGATCATAATTAAAAATTATCACTACTCACGAGCTAATGTAGCGTAACTATGCATTACAATTTTCATAAATAGCGTATATATATTATAAGTAAAGAATTATAATACAAACGCTAATACTTCCTTCGTTTCATAAAGAGTGTCGTTTTAAAAATTTATTTTTGTTTTACAAAAAATGTCGTTTTGTATTTCCAATGTAAATTTTTAATTAAAAATCTAATTTTAACTTTGTTATTTTAGTGTATTAATTAAAAAGAGAAAATTGTTTAATATATTTATGAAAGACAGAAAAAACTTTTTATTAAGTTTTTTAATATGTGTGAAAAGTGTCGAAATCATATTTTTTCTTAAACAGATTAAACAGAGAGAATAGTAATTAGTAAAATACTCAACTTCTAAAATTTAGAAGATGCTCCGTTTTTACTCGCCAGCAAAGAAAGACATACAATTACAAAGAAACCAAGTGGCGACAATATCGCCTTATTACAGCAAAAAGAAAACACACATAACATATTATTATCGCCTTACTAGAGCAAAACGAAAACACACATAACACATTATTATCGCCTTATTACAGCAAAACGAAAACACATAACACATTATTCTTTTGAAGCTGTTGAATCGAGGAAAGGGTAATCGGTGTATCCAACGACAGGATCAGAAGTGTAAAACGTTGATCTATCGTACTTGTTAAGCGGTGCATCAGCTTCAAACCTCTTAGGCAGGTCCGGGTTTGCCAGAAACCACCGACCAAAAGCCACCAGATCGGTTCTTCCCTCCGCCACCGCCGCATTACCGTCTTCCTTCGTGAATCCTCCCGACGCGATGAAAGTTCCCGTAAAGGCTTTCCTCATCGGCGTTAACGTGTGAGGAGACTCTGCAATATCTGCCATCGTTTTCATTCTCGGCTCGACCACGTGGCAGTAGAGGATTTCGTATTTGTTCAGAGACTCCGCCATGTGAACAGCTAACGCTTGCGGGTTAGTATCTGCTGATTCATTGTAGTCAGCGAACGGAGAGAGCCTGATTCCTACGCGATCTTTCCCGATCTCGTTCGCCACCGCTTCGACTACCTCTAGAGCGAATCTGCAACGGTTTTCCAACGATCCGCCGTATTCGTCGGTTCTGTCGTTCACCGTGTCCTTCAGGAACTGGTCGATCAGATAGCCTTGAGCGCCGTGAATCTCAACTCCGTCGAAGCCTGTAAACATCAACGACATATTCAAGGACACATATTGTAAGAGTCTTGAATGAGAATAGCTTTCTTGAATTTCAGAGGGATTTGCTTACCAGCTTCCATAGCGTTTCTTGCTGCAAGCCTGAAATCGTTGACAACGGTGGGGATCTCTTCGGCAGTTAAGCGTCTTGGGGGTGTAAACGCGTCTTCGTCGTTGGCTGGAGGCGTCAGTGGCTTGTCCGTACAAGAGATCGGAGCTTGCCCATTTGGCTGATAACTTCGATTAGAAACGCGGCCAACATGCCAGATCTGACAGAAGATGAAGCCGCCTTTGGTATGAACAGCATCCACGATTGGCTTCCATGCCTCCACCTGCTCTTTAGTCCATATCCCTGGCGTATCTTTATACCTTCAAGAATCAAGCCACGCAAAACTGGATCAGATCACTTTTATAATCAAACTGAGCCAGAGAGATGGGATGAAATGAGTTACCCTTGAGCCGTATCTGAGATTGTGGTGGCTTCAGTGATGAGAAAACCTCCAGGGCTGGCTCTCTGTGAGTAGTATAAGGCAGCATGGGGCTGAGGAACGTACCCGTACGATCTCAGTCTCGTCATTGGTGCCAGAACAACCCTGAATCGTTACCCAAAAATGATCAAGCTTCTTATTGTATTGTAGGGATGAGAGATTTAACCTCATCGAAAAAAAAAAGGAAAAAGGAAGAATATATTCAGATATTATACAAACCTGTGGGAAAGATCGAATTTTCCCATCTTGTAGGGCGTGAGAAGAGGGATACTCTGTTTCGGTTTCGTTTCTGCGTTTTGAATTTCCGATGGTGCCATGGTTGGTTTGTGTCTCTGTGATTCTTGCTGTGAAAACAATTTGAATGTGGAAGAAGATGGATATAGTGCGTCCTCAGCTTTATAGAGCAAGGCACAGCTCTGATTGGGTATACCCGCATGCAACGTTTATTTGTTACTGTGTTTTCGCCACTGTGAATGCATCCATAGACTGATCTCACCAACTTGGCATTTTTCTTCATGGCTTACGTCATTAAAATGTTTAAAACGTTCAACTTCTTCCACCAAGTCTCATATACTTTCAATAACTTTTTAAATTTTTTTTTTTTTAACTTTCCCAACTTGGACCACTGACAGACAAAAAAGGAAAGAAAGTAGATTTGGAGGAAGATGCTCTCTGTTTTGAGGTGAACTAAAAGAAGGAAAGATATAGAGCATCATATTCAAATGAGCATTGCAAATTACAAGAAACATAAGTTTTGAATGTCTCATCTTTATGTGCTACGCTGAATAATGGATTTTAAATCTGTAAACTAAAATTAGTTAAAAGGAGGTTTGAATCCAATAATCAGTTTTAGACCAGATTTTTGATGCAGTTACTGTACTAACAATGATAATGAATCATCCATTTTTTATAAAATGAAATGGAAACTTCAAATTTTATAACCAAATTCCACAACAATGCAAAATAGAAATGGCCTATATTCGAAAACTAAAAGCCAAACCAACAAGGAAACCGGACTAACCAGGCGGTTCTACAGTAACAAGGAAAGCTTGAACGCAATTTGTTTCCACCGGAATCTGCTTTCACCGCAGGCGTGAGGTTTGATCGTAAGGCTCAAACCTAAAGCCCAATGTGATGGAGTTAAGGCCCGTTTTTCTTTTTTAACCCAAATCCCATTGTGATGGAGATAAGGCCGATATTTCCCCCCGCCGATTGTTTACTTTAATCTAAAGCCCACTGTTATGGAGATAAGGCCCGTTTCGTTTTTTTCTTTTTCCAAAATTTTATATTTCCACACAATTTGGAAAATAGCAAGTGAAACTATATTTTAAAAAATCATATTTTCATGTAAAATATTTTACGGAAAATCCCTTAATCTTTTTTGCAAATTATTTTAAAAATTTATAAATTAAATTAACTAATTTTTTAATTGATTGAATTAATAATTTTAATACGTAAACCATTTTTAATGATAAAAATATACGCTTTTGATAAAAAGATTAAAAATAATTACAAAAAACAACTAGAAAAAATAATTCAAACTTTTAACTATTGTCGTGAAAGTGTAAAATGGAAAAGTAAAGTATTATTTGTTTTCACAGCCAAGTGAATTATTTTATTATTTTGTCTAAAATAGGAATAATGGCGTAACGCAAGCCCACACGTTTGAGTGTGCGGTGTCATAAAAAAAAAAAAAGCAAAGAGACACACACTTCCTTCTCTCATATATCGCACCACCAATTTTCGAAGTGCGTTTCGGATTAAGGCCAATCTCTGAATCTGCGTAAGAAAGCAATCACACATCTCTCGCTCGCGACTACGAAGATCAGAATCCATGGCGGTTTGTTCTACATTTCTGTGTTTGCTTGTTTAAGATCCCATGCTGGGGCTATTGCCTTTCCTTCTCTTGCTGTGATCCATTTTTTGTTTTTCGGGAAACTTTTTCTTACGATTGGTTATTGATTTGCTTTTCTTCTTCCGAAATTAGGAATATATCTATGGTGTGATTTTTCCGCTTGCCAATATCTAGAGACGAGTTTGATTGTTGCTAATTGTTCTAACTTCTAATTCGTTGTTATTTTCTGGGATCGAATTGATTGTGGCTCTCGATGTTGATCTCTCTGGATTATTTTCAGAAATCTGTATATATCAATTTCTATCTGTTAGCTTGTAGCGCATATAATGATGGAATATAGATTAAAGGTTCGTTCCAGTGATTCTATTAGATGATTTTGGTTCCTTCGCGTATTTGTTTGTTCGCTTCGCCTATTTGTGAAGTTTTTGGCGAAAGTTAGTGACCGATGAGAATGGAACAATATTGAGATAAGCAGCTAACTGTCATTTGTTTGTGCTTTTAATCATCGGTTTGGTTATAAGCAAATAATTTGATTTACTATAATAGTATAAACATGTGAGAATCTAGGCTTTTTTGTAGCTGGCTTCTGATTAGAGTGGAGTGTGTGTTTTGTCATTAAATGCAACTTCATATATTTGTGATTCATTAGCGATTCTTTGTGATGACAGGTAAGGTCAGTAAAAGTTGGCAATCTCTCCTCAGGAGCAACAGAGCATGACATAAAAGAGTTCTTCTCTTTTTCTGGTGAAGTTGAAAGCATCGATATCCAAGGGTTAGTGATTGCCAATAGTTTTTTTTTTCTATTTCCTGTATTGTTTCTCGTTGAGTTTGTGAACTAAAAAGCTTATTGATCAACTAACTCTCGAATTATTGGTAAGGATTGAAGCTTTTCTTATTGACCTATTGACTCTTGCGCTTCTTCCTTTTTTTTTGCTTTCATGTTCTAACTAGTAGCAGTGACGAGCACAGTGCTTATGTCACCTTCAAAGATCCTCAAGGAGCAGAGACTGCTGTGCTCTTATCAGTGGGTTCACTTTTAACCCCCTCAACATTCTTCCTTTTATCGTAATGTTAATATTGTAGCTTTCAACTATTACATATATGCTAAGTTCATTATGGCTGCTAAGTTAGTAACCAAATCCATGACTTTCTCGTCAGCAATTAAATATTTGTTCGATATGGTAAGAAATACTGAGAGTTACTTTCACTTTTCTGTCCTCGTGGAACTTATTTTGTATCTGGAGTAGAGAATTGGACTATTTGTAGTTGCAGTCATCATACTAAGTACTAACAAGTAGGGATGTATTTCAGGGTGCGAGTATTGCCGATCAAGCAGTTATCATTGAGATGGCTCCTACCTACACTCCACCTGCAGCCCCTCATGCTGTAATGTTTTCCATCTTGAGCTTATCTATTATATATTATGATTTTTTTCCTTGTATTTACTAGGAACTAGAAACCATTGTCGTTGATGTTTGATTACTTACAAAGCATTGATTATTTCCCTCTCAAGTCTTGGTAGATACTATGTGTAGCGAGTTTCTTAGTAACAGTAGAGAGTCTAAACAGCAATGTATAGAAGTTTTGATTTGTGTTCATTTCGCAGGAAACACAGAGCGGTGGCGGAGGCGCCGCAGACTCTGTTGTGCAGAAGGCAGAAGATGTTGTGAGCACCATGTTAGCAAAGGGTTTCATTCTCGGGAAAGACGCTGTCGGCAAAGCAAAAGCTTTTGATGAGAAACTCGGTTTCACCTCAACCGCAACAGCAGGAGTGGCTTCGATAGACCAGAAGATCGGACTAAGCCAAAAAATCACAGCGGGTACTAGCTTGGTGAACGAAAAGATCAAAGAGGTGGACCAAAGCTTCCAGGTTTCAGAGAGGACCAAGTCTGCGTTTGCGACTGCGGAACAGACGGTGAGCAGCGCAGGTTCGGCTGTGATGCAGAACCGTTATGTGTTAACTGGTGTGAGCTGGGCCGCAGGAGCGTTCAGCAGAGTGGCTAAAGCGGCTGGAGAGGTTGGACAGAAAACAAAAGAGAAGGTTGAAGCTGAGCAACCGCCACAACCGTCGCAGCCGCAGCCGCAGCCGCAGCCGCAGCCGCAGCAGCAACCACCAGAAGGGTATTCTCCGATTCATTCGTCTGAATACCCCAAGAACTAATATCTCTATTCCACTGAAAAATGTTTCGTTCTTATCTTCTCCTTCTAGTTGGTTTCTTTGATATGATAATTGGGAATTTGATTTTGGTCTTTTGGGATGTAACATAAATGCTTTGTCTCTGAATCTTTTCTCTATTAGTACTGTAATTCGGTTTTTTTAGTAGATATATTCAGTAATTTAACATTTGAATAATTAAATAAATCTAAATATATGCTAAAAATCAAATAAATTCGAAGGAAGTTGTACCACAAATTTTCAATAATAAAAACTCGCGCTCACATCAGCTTCAATCATAAAGGATCGATCAGTACCTCAATTTCCACAGCGAAAATGAGTTTGAGCGGTCCATTGCATACTCCAATTCCGGCGATATATTCAGAGAAAGATTGTGTTTCGAAAGTGCACATTTCAGGTAGTTCAATAGGGTTCGATACCTGGAGTTCTTCTTCTTCAGTACTTGAATGTAGGCGTGTAATCCAAGCCACATCACTTCTTCTTTGTAAAGTTTAAGAACTGGTCTGAAACTAGAACCAGTGTTGATTCTGTGCATCCTTCGATTTATGAGTTTGAACATGTACCTATTAGTTGAAAGGAAACCAGGAACACTAGATTATTCGAGTGAGTTCGTTTGATTTTCGTTCGGTTAAGCCACCAAATAACTTTCAGCAGTGGTAACAATTAAAATTCTTCCTAAACCGAATAGGCCAAAAACATATAATATAGTTTTTGCCATACCTGATAGATCTTGTGATGAATTGGGACAGAGACTGAGGATGCAGCTTCCAAAACCGGGACAACTCGTAGACATAAGAGTGAAACTTCATTGCAGCTAACAGAAAGATCTGATAGATGTTTAACCTGACAATTGCTCCCGAGTTGATGTTCGAGTCAAAGAGAATGGGGTGACATTTGGGGACCAAGAAGTAACACAATTTATGCCTAAGATTTCCGACTGGTTTGTTCTGCCAGGCTACCGAAAAGGTTGAGCTTATATGGCCACTCAAGTACCTGGTTTCCATGGATTTGAGTGCCAAAATTAGACTTGAACCAACAATTCATAAACCAAGAAGGCTGAGGAAACAGAGTCAAACAAGTATATACTTATACAAGAGAATAAGGCTAACCTTGTGTAGTCAACTTGAACTTCGAACGTGCGGGAATTAATAAGCAAACCCGTCCATCTGATAAAAGGAACTCCATTATCACCCACATACATCCTGTTAGAAGAACTCCTAGATTCTTCTCCATCTTCGAAATTTATGCAGAATTTCTTTTCGTTCATGAAGCAGTTGTAATCTGGAAATCCATGCTTCAACCTCTGATAGAAGCTAGTGGCCTGATCTCTTGAGGTAGACACAAAGAGGTAGTCATCGATAAATCTCAGTAACTTGTAGCTCAGGGGAGTGGTTAGCTCTTTCTCTCTATTGCATTCTCTAGCAGACGCCTCTCTAGATGCTTCCTCGAGGAACGGGTAGATCAAAGTCCTCTCGAGGTGCCCGTAGTAAAAACAGCATAACAAAGATGATAACCTGTGTCCCTGTGGTATTCCAGCTACTTGTACATAGAAGCTTTTATCCAACTGCAGCATGTTGTTCTTTAGCATATTTTCTATCCAGAGCATGAGATCCTTTTTCCTCACTACATGGTCTTCTCCCTAAAACATTGGACCAAAAACCACAACACTGTTTAGAAAATAACTAATTAACAAAGGGGACTATACAAGCTCTAAGAAATAGGATCTCTAACGATTTTTCAGCAGTCCAATAGTTTTGTGTTTTACCCTCCAGAACCTATTAATCTTGTTTTCTCATGCAAAGATCAAACAGTGAAGTATATGTTTTTTAGTTGAACAAACAAATTAACCAAGAAGTTAAAATGCAATGCTAACCAAAGCTTTCAATCCACATAATACTATGCCTTGAACTAGAAATTTTGTTCTAATTAATAAATTTTCTCATCATATAAGGAGAATGTGTTTTCGACACTAGGCTCACACAAATGTTGCAGAAATAGCCCACAGATCCAGCATACATGGTTAAGATCATAGAGTTTAAGCTTAACATGAAGAAGCATACCTGATCAACCATGATACTATGCAGAGCGTTATATGGAACATGTGATGTGAATCTTGAAATGGTAGCATTTTTGTCAGTCGAGACTAGTATATTGTTTACCCAACGCGATCTCTTCCCACAGCAGACCAATCTACATCTGTTCAAGATGTGTTCATCTTTCAGGACACAGTTTACGACATCAAGCAGCTTACCCTGATCGATTGAATCAAATGCTTTATATACATCCGCAACCACAAAGAACAAAGCAGGAAGTTCTCCAGATTGACTTCTCAAATGGATCAGATATGGGCCTAGGTTCCTGTAGAAATCATCATGGTCAAAAACAGAAGACCCAAGGACTTCTGGTTCTTTGAGCTGAATATCCTTCAAAACTGCATGTGTGTCACGAAGAGATTGCAACCTTGACGAGGAACTGAAATCTAACAACATCCTCACACCGTTTGCCTTTGGTAGAAATCTAAAGTTCAATAACTCCAGCTTTGTCCTTCTACTCTCAGCTTCAGCATCGTCCACTTGGACATATCCATCAAGGTTTTTGCTAATTTCTTTGCTTATTAACCTTTCCCAGTTGCATTTCCGGTAATAGTAAATGTTTAGCCGACCTTCTTGACGTTCAGTAGCATAGAAGTTGAAGCGCACCAATTTCTTGACAATCTCTAAGAAAAGCCAAGAAATCCATTTCGTGCACAACATCTGCTGTGTACTTCTGATGGACTCATTCTGGAGTTCATGCCCGTTGACCATACAGCATAACTGTTTACTGGCAAAGAAAGTGAAATCTGATGGTTTCACTTTATGCAAAAACTGATTCACTGTGCATATCTCATTTCTTCGCCTAGAAACAAACCAGGCTATGTTTCTTCTAAGCACCCTCGTCTGATGATTGGTCCCAAGCAAACTTTCTGGAATAATGTACCTACAGATGGCCCATATGAAGGAAACAACTTGGTCTTTCGTGCAATACAGCTTTGTTTCTTCAACACTGGGACAGTTGATTTTGCCCTTCTGTGAACTTGATCCATGAGGCAGCTTATCTGAATTTTTCATCCAGGAACTCTGTAATAGAAGATATGTAAGGGATTGTCAGTCCAAGGATCAGTTAGATGTGCGACGGATATGAACTTTCTAGGCGACTGTGATGATTTGCTGTTTCTACATTCTTTCTCTTTCATATTCGAATTTCCCCAAAAAAAAATTTCTGAGATAAAGATGACCAGATACACTATTCAAACTTTGCAGCAATTTAATTTGAAAACACTATCATAAGGAAAATATCAACCTGGGAATTCGCATTTGCAGACTTCAACGCATCCTCATGCAGCAAGAGAACAGGACAGTGTTTATCTAGTAACGTTTTCAAATGAGAGGACTTTGTTTTGCCAATTAGGCTTTTAAGAGACTTGAGCAATGAGTGATATCTGCAGAACAAGGGAAAGAAACATTGTGATATCAGTTTCCTCCCAGCACCAGCCACCTCACTGACTCAGACTACTTACATAGTTACATAACCTACATTATCTGAATATATGCTCCAAGTTTCGGAATAAGTTAAGTTTTCTTGAAACATTATTTGTTTTGGAATAATCGATTGATCCCAGTCAACTATGATTTTATATTGAGCTAAAACCAAAGTAAAACAGAACTAGATACAATTTCTTGTTCAGAAAATTAAAAATCTGAGCATAGTTTTCTTTCAGACGCTATGCATATTTAACTTCTCTCACTATTATTTCTTCAATTTCGTTAAGCAGTCATATATATTTGCAAAGTATGAAAAGACAACAACTTAGGAAAATAATTGCATGACTTACAAGCAAATAGATCCACTGGGACAATTGCCTTTGCCATGAGATGGCGCCGTTGACCAAGCATTTACTTCACCAAATATATGGTTCATTAGGGACTTTGAATCAGAGCAGTTGGGCTTTAATGTTTTCAAAATGTCTGTATATTATAAGGAAACATATACATTGGAGAAGAAATGTACAGAGAAGAGTCACATTTAAAATTGCCATCAAGCTATTGACGCTACAAGTAACTGAACATGTTCAAACCGCTGAAGGATACGCTTTGGTGGTATAACTGAAAACGTTTCCGAGTTGGCAAACTTGAACTGCTTCTTTCTTTTCACCTGTTTAGCCTTAAAAAAGAAGAAGTGGAACTCATGCACTTGCAACTTAATAGCAAGCTGATACCAAACTTAGTTGATCAAATCATTTTACAGAAAAATTACCTGCTTTGCAGAGTCAGTGAGACTTCCATTTATACTGATGTTCGGATTCCGTTCATCAGCTTCATTCCCAGTTGAGGATTTACCATTCGTACAAGAAGTTACACAAGGTGCATCACTGTCAACTTTTTGGCGATTGACATTTCTCAGTTTTCGCCGACGCTTAAGATACAATCTTGAACGCTTACTGGGTTTTTGCTCCCTATGTTGGCCTACATCCACCGAAACTATGGACGTAACAGCTTCAGAGTTATCCTTAGGACAGTCATTGACAGCAGGAGAAAACCGCTGCCTCTTCTTTGATGGATGAGCGTCGTCATCCCTCTTTCTTTTGTTTTCGTGGACTGTCAATGTCTCTGTACCATGAAGAATGAAGACTATCAAGTTAACTGAAACCAATGTTTGATAGATAAGAATATTACAAGAAAAAGTGGAAGCATTACAAGAAAATATATGATTGGGGTTCTTAGAGCATATAATTAAGGATACAAGTTTGATACTGAGACTTACCCTTTTGCTTGATACATAGAGGAGGTCCAGACACTTGCTGGTGTTTCCTTCCTTGAAATGGTAAGAATATTGATGTGTTCTGTAGTAGATACACCATGAAATCATGACCGACCTACAAACAAGGAGAAATTGAATATTAACGACTCCAATACTCGAAGATTGTAAGTAAATCATCAAAAGGTTTTGACAACAAACCCGTTTGAGAAGAAACTCCCAGGATGAACTTGACAATAACTCCAGAATAGGGCTGGTCTGATCATACTGACAAAAAGATGAATGAGAAGAAAAACCATTAATTATATCTCTACCACTTTTGAAGGTCTTCAAAGAAAATTAGCAACACTCACAGCAGAAGATGACAAAAAGAAATTCATCTAGTGTTTGACTGTAAGAACAAGAGCAAAAAACCGCATAGCTTAGATAAGTATGCTGCACTCTACAGTCCACATTGAGTTTGAGATTGAAGAAGAAGAGTTCACCTTGTCATATCTGGCACATATCACATTTTGGCAATCGCATCCAGATTCCATCATTTCAATAGTCTTTTCGACAATCTGAGAAATTTAAATAAAGTATCATGTTTAAAAATCAGAAACATCATAACATACTCAAAAGTAGCTACATCTTGAAATCTCCCAAAATTAAGAACTCAAAGCAAATGCCATAGTACAGTGCGAGGTAAAATCCAACCTCTCTCTGTGACCACCAAGACGTTGGCCTGAAATCCAGAAGCGGAGGGGTTTGTTCGTGAGTTACTACGGAGCAGCGGTGAAGAAGTTTACGGTAGTGAATGGGATCATCGGGACGCAACAGAAAGGACGGTTTATCGCGGCTGCAACCGAGACAACCTTGGCCCCGGCAACGGCATTGCTCCGGCTGGATTTCCCGGCCAGTAATCAGATCTACTATTGCGTCCTTTAGATTCCTAGCTCTATTTTCGAATAGCCTCCATAAAATCTCCGGCACATTACGTCTAGGTTTTCGTGGCATTTCGCCTTCCTAAACCTCAAAAAGGGATTTTCCAGGAAGCTAAAGAGGATTTTTTCTCGGATTGGAGAGAGAGAAGAGTGAACGAGCTTCGAAAATTGGGTCTAGTGGAGTGAAAGAGGCGGGAGATGAAACTTCTCGAGTCCTCGGAACAATAAATTGCGATTTACTGCTATCTGATTTTGAAAATTTTCAAAGCTTTTTAGAGCAGAGCCACAAACGCTAGCCTAAACGTAAACCGAGACAACACAAACCGAACCGTCTACGCTTGAAATTCAGTCGGTTCTATATTATTTTTAAAACATCTGGTTCCAGTAGTTTATTCATATTTGTGGTTTCAAATCGGATTAACTAAACCGAAATGAAATATTCCAAACAGAAATATTTCGGTTCTTAATTTAATACCGAAGTCAAACCCTAAAAAAATCCAGCCTTTTATTCAGTGGGTCCCCGTTTCCTTTTTTCTTGTTAAATGAAAATGTTATTAATTTATTACTGTAAAAAAAAATGAAAATATCATATATTCCTTATTTACTTGGGCGTTACTCCAATTTCCTTAATACCTCACTGTCTTTCCTTTCATTGTTTTGGTGTGTGTGTGTCGCCAGCCTCTCTATTTATAGGTTTATTAGTTTCCATTCTGCATATTTAACCTTGGCAGCCTCTCTTCCGAAATTCTAATAAAGCTCTCAGCTTTAAATTATTGTGGGAGGCTGAGAAATTTGCAGAATCATCAACATCATGAGTATCCATAGCTTCTACCAGACAGCTTTCAGCTTCTTCAAGGCTTACCCTTCTGCTTCCAAGCTTCTTGTTCTCAGTACCTTCAGGTCTCTTCTTTATTCCATTCTTCTTCTTCTCCTCCTTTATTTCAACTCTACATATATCTGTATATGCTTTAGCTGTTGTCTCAAATTTCCTCCAATCTTCCTTTTAGTCTTCTGAATTTTCGACCTCTCCTTATGAGAATATATACACGAACCGGAATTTATAGTTGAAAGTTTCTTCCTTTTTTTTGCCTCTCAAGAACACACAAAGCTTCATATTTTTTTTTTCAGTTCAGATCCAGTTTCTTTTTTGGTACCGTAGTTCATTAGATCTGGTTCTTAGAGAATTTCTGACATTAATTTCAGTCTCCATCTTTGTCGGCTCTCTCTGACCTTTGTCGTCTCATGTATTGGCTTTTGCAGCGGTGGCGGAGTTCTGGTGTATTCAGACTTAAACACAGTCGCTGCTCCAACAGATAGGAAGAAGAAGGTGGTTGTTCTTGGGAGTGGCTGGAGCGGTTACAGCTTCTTGAGTTACCTCAACAACCCTAACTATGAAGTTCAAGTTGTCTCTCCTCGAAACTTTTTCCTCTTCACTCCTCTCTTGCCAAGTGTTACCAATGGTACCGTTGAAGCCCGTAGCATTGTTGAACCCATCCGTGGCCTTATGCGCAAGGTAGCCCCATCTAACATCTATCACTCTCTCTTATAGTATTCATTACCTTTTAATGTTTTTGTTGTTTTGTGATTCTGATACTTAAACTATCTTCTCAGAAAGGGTTTGAGTACACTGAGGCAGAGTGTGTCAAGATTGACGCATCTAACAAGAAAATCCATTGCCGGTCCAAGGATAGCTCAAGGCTTAAGGGCACATCGGAGTTTGACATGGATTACGACATTCTAATCATAGCTGTTGGAGCTAAGCCTAACACATTCAACACCCCTGGAGTTGAGGAACATGCCCATTTCCTCAAGGAAGCAGAGGATGCTCTGAAAATCCGTCAGTCAGTCATCGACAGTTTCGAGAGAGCCTCTCTTCCCGATCTAACCGAAGAAGAGAGGAAGAAGATTCTACATTTCGTTGTGGTTGGTGGAGGACCAACTGGTGTCGAGTTCTCAGCAGAGCTCTATGATTTCTTGGTCGAGGATGTGTCCAAGATTTATCCAAAGGTCCAAGAGTTCACAAAGATCACTCTTCTTGAAGCAGGCGACCACATTCTCAACATGTAAGTTCCAATCAAGTTTTGTTTTTAGCTTTGGCTTAAATAAATTAATCTGCTGCTCCTAATGTTCGCTGTGCGCTCTCCTTCAGGTTTGACAAGAGGATCACTGCATTCGCTGAGGAGAAGTTCCAGCGTGACGGTATTGATTTGAAGACAAAGTCCATGGTTGTGGGTGTGACTGCTGATGAGATAACCACAAAGGAGAGAGGAACTGGCAACGTTGTCTCTGAACCTTATGGTATGGTTGTGTGGTCAACAGGAATCGGTTCACGTCCTGTCATCAGAGACTTTATGCAGCAGATTGGTCAAGGGCAGAGGCGTGTCTTGGCAACTGACGAATGGCTTAGAGTGGAGGGATGCGACGGCGTCTATGCTTTAGGTGACACTGCAACCATCAACCAACGCAAAGTCATGGTACCGTTTCAACTCCCTATAGATCCATTACGCCTTCTCTTTTGTCATTGTATCATATGTTGAGTTTAATATGCTGTTACTTTTTTTTGTCTTGTTGAGCAAAACAGGAAGATATAGGTGCAATTTTCAGCAAAGCAGACAAGGAAGAGACTGGAACTTTGAACAAGAAAGAGTTCAAAGGTGTGGTGAAAGACATATGCCAGAGGTACCCTCAGGTGGAGCTCTACTTGAAGAAGAACAAGATGAGGAACATTGCAAACTTGCTCAAGAGCGCGAACGGGGAAGACACAGAGGTCAGCATCGAGAAGTTTAAGCAAGCCCTCGCAGAGGTGGATACTCAGATGAAGAATCTTCCAGCAACTGCACAGGTTGCATCACAACAAGGGAAGTACCTGGCCAAGTGCTTCAACAAAATGGAGAAGTGCGAGAAGAATCCAGAAGGTCCACTGAGGTTCAGAGGAGAGGGTCGTCACCGGTTCCAGCCGTTCAGGTACAGACATTTTGGATCGTTTGCTCCTCTCGGAGGGGAACAGACAGCAGCTGAACTGCCTGGTGATTGGGTCTCCATTGGTCACAGCAGCCAGTGGCTTTGGTACTCTGTCTACGCCAGCAAACTGGTGAGCTGGCGCACGAGGATGCTCGTTGTCTCTGACTGGGCTCGACGCTTTATCTTTGGCCGTGACTCCAGCAGCATCTAAGCTCTTTTGCTTCTCCCCCACTTTTTGTTCTACTACTTGCTATATTTGTTGTTTTTTGGAGCCCATGATTATTACACACTTGAAATTTTGATCCTTGTCGTCCTCTCAAGTTTTATGTCTGTCTACATTGAGCTTATGAACACAATCATAACTTAAATCATTATCAAACAAATTCATAACAAGAGTTCCCACAGTAACTATTCGACGCTCCCACACGATCTCAGCTCCAGATAAAGGCCCATATCCTATAACCTCTTGGGCCAAATAAAGGCCCATCTCTTTTAGACCCAGTCACAATCGATGTCAATCCGGGAAAACAATCAACCGGTCCAATCTATTTTCTTAAACCCGAGTGAAGCAAACCAAAACCAAAAATCGAAAGCCGAATTACTCTCCTTCCCGGTCATCCTTCCTTCCCTTCAGTCTTCTTCAATTCCTCCTCCTCCAAAATAAACACACCATTGGGATCTTCTGTGATTTCACTTCAATTATGCCCTCTGGCTGCAGTATCAGGGCTCTATGGATTATCAACAATCATGACGCTGTTGTTTTCTCCAGGTTTTTGTTTCATTTTGATCACTCAATTTCATTTCAATCCTCTTTCTTCCAACATCTCTATTTAAAATTAAGAAAAAAAATTAGGAGGTTTCCGGTGGTGGAGAAGCAGTGGCGGTCCGCTTTCAAGACGGAAAACGGAAACAATGGCGGCTTGGATCTTCCTCGACTTCCCACTGATCAACAGCTCGCCATTGCTTTTGCTCGAAGAAAGAGACGGTACGCAAGACTTTCTTCTGCTGGAACAATGAATTTCCTTCCTGGAAAATGTAAACAAAAGTTTGGTAAAATCCAATGATCAGGGAAGGCTCTACTCGTGGATACGGCGTTCGTGTAGCTGAATCCACCAAAGGATCCGATTCCTGGGTCGATGATCCCATCACTCGTCATATCATCAGCCTTTGCTTAGCTGAGGATGATAGTGAATCTAACGAAAACGACGAGAGGAATATGCTTTGGCCCATTGTCCTTCACACCAAATCCCTCTATTCCATCCTCGTCTTGCCTTTGGTTGAGCCAAGGGATTTGAAGGACTTCGTCAACTTGTGCAGGAGATCTGACTGCGGACAAGCTGTTGGTGAAGATCTGAGTTTATCATCTCTCTTGCTTAACATTTCATCCATCACTGGGTACACACTTGCATCTCCTTTCTCAAAGGTTGGTCTTCACTCTGTGAGATTTCGTTCAGCTGTGTCTTATTTCTCCCAACCAACCATGTTTGTAGGGCTTTCATGGTGGCACATTCATTCGGCGACATCATCTCCGGTGATACGGCGGAGCCTGAGGTCGTCGTAACTGCCTCAGCATCAGTTGGAGGATTGTTTGATTCACTAACTGGAAGCATTGGTATCTCATCAAGGCCAAAACCCGTCGCTGCACCCGTTGCATCTTCTTCTTCCCCGGCTTCAACAGGAGCTGCCGCATCAGATGATCCCAAAGCAGGGCTACTTGACAAAGATCTACTTAGAAACTTCATCGCTACTGCTATGCCCTTTGGTTCGTACTTTCCCTCTCTCACAGAATTGTTTTGTTCTGTCTTCGTCGCTGACATGTTTTAAATCAATTTTTGCAGGTACACCATTAGACCTCAGCCTTTCTAATATCTCTGCTATAAAGGCGAATGGCTTTTCCTCTGCTGATCCTCCTCCACAAGAACTTAAGCAACCAGCATGGAAGCCATACCTGTACAAAGGGAAGCAAAGGCTATTATTCACAATCCATGAGACCATTAACGCTGCAATGTACGACCGCGATGAGATTCCCGACAGTGTATCCGTCGCCGGTCAGATAAACTGCCGTGCAGAGCTTGAAGGACTGCCTGACGTATCGTTTCCTCTAGCCGGGCTGAGTAAAGCCCACATCGAGGCTATATCTTTCCATCCTTGCGCACAAGTCCCAGCACATGGGATCGACAAGCACAACATTGTTTTCCAGCCTCCCTTGGGTAACTTTGTTCTCATGCGGTACCAGGCGGGTTGTGGGCTTGGACCACCTGTGAAAGGTTTCTATCAGCTATCAATGGTCTCAGAGGACGAAGGTGCATTCCTCTTCAAGGTGCGCCTCATGGAAGGCTACAAGGCTCCTCTGTCTATGGAGTTTTGCACTATTACTATGCCCTTCCCACGGAGACGGATCGTGGCGTTTGATGGGACTCCTTCAGCTGGGACTGTTTTGACCACAGAACACTCTGTTGAGTGGAGGGTTCTGGGAAGCGGGCGTAGTCTCTCTGGGAAATTCCTTGAGGCAACTTTCCCCGGGACAATTAAGTTTAGTCCATTGCAGAGCAAGAGAGGAGGAGATGGAGATGATGAAGAGGGTGAGGGTACAGAGAATGTGGTGAACGTGGAGGAGTTTTTGGTGCGGAAAATGAACAAGGATCTTCCCGCAGCTGAGATGGAGGAACCCTTCTGCTGGCAAGCCTATGACTACGCTAAGGTATGTATAATTCCTTTTTGTTTCTTCCCTTTTGATTTCTCTTATGGACTTGGATTGTTTTTCAAATCTGTCTTCTGGTTTACAGGTCTCGTTCAAGATTGTCGGGGCATCTGTATCTCAAATGTCAATCGACACGAAATCGGTAAGCTTTTTAGGTGATTAGTTTACAGTGTTATCCCGCCTTTTATAAGTTAATAAGGGTTCGTTATCTGTGACCATTGCCTCCTTCTCTTTTGCTAGGTCAATATCTACCCAACCACAAAGTCGCCGGTCGAGTTTTCTGCTCAGGTAAGACGGAAGGAAATGTTTGAACCAAAGATTTGAGAAATTCTGAAGGCTATATGTGATTAACTACATGATATATGCGTTTAACAGGTGACCTCTGGGGATTATATATTGTGGAACACATTGGGGAAAGCTCCATCAGCAGCCACTGTGTGATCCCCCAAGACTGAGGGAGTGTGAGATTCGAGTTGTTTGTGTGTGTTCGACATGGCTAATTGTCTGAGCATTGATGGTCCAATTTTGTTTTGGCCGGGGAAGTGAATCTGTATATTGTTTTTTTTTGGGAAGTGAGTCTGTATATTGTTCTTCAGAAAAAGAAGTCGAGTGTTTTCTTGACATAGAACATGTTTGACAGAAAGCCAACATCATGCAGGGGAACTGTATGTTGAGGTTTTTACATGGTTACTGCAGATTTCAAGAACAAAGACAATAAAAGGATGTAATAGGGATTATGATTACAGACCTCATGTAAATTGTATAATTTAAGCAATTAGCTGAAGACCTTTTTTTCTTCGAATATAGAATCACAATCCATTTACCCTAAATAAAACATCTGTTGTTAGTTTGTTACAATTGTTTTATCTTTATGAAAAAAAGGGTCGAACTTTTGCTACCTCTAATACAAAACCAGCAACGCATTGATATCATAATCACCATTAGGTCAATCAATCTGATCTCGGAGAGGCAAATTGTACATGTCCACGACAAGTTTGGAAAAATGCTTAAAAATGGGAACTTTTCGTCATCATCAGGAATCACTAAACGTTACAACTACAGACTTCTCACAGATTCTCCTGGCAAAGCAAGAAGGTGGGGTTCATGTCTCTCCTTTCTGCTTCGTCCATCTGAGAGATCGGGTTGAAGAGAGATGTCACATCGAATTTCGAAGCTGCTACAGAAGCTTTAGTCCACCTGTTACTTCATCAACAACTTGCACTGGTCCTGCGGAAGTAACACCTCTAAGTGTTTGAATGTTGTGCTAAGAAAAGCTGATAAACAAATTCTGCTAGAGGAATCTCTATCTCCCCATCATAGAACGATGCATATAAATTTAGATACCACATAAAACTATAGACGCTCTTCTGACCGAATCAAATTTTTGAGCTTACATTTTCATATATATGATTCTTATGAGCTAAAGATTCCATTCAGGGTCAAGAACAAGCACTACGCGGTCAGAGGAGTCTTGAACTAATAAACTAGTACATTTATCTACACTCTAGGGCAAAAGCAATCTGCAACTCTCAAACTCATCTCTTGTCCATCAGAGTCTAAATTTCCAAACACATAACTTGGATGAAAAAACAACTTACCAAGAATAGCCATAACTGTCCTTGAATCTGGAAAAGACCATGAAAGTATATTAGGTTCATCATAATATGGTCTCTCCTTGGTAATTAACTAGCAAGACACAAAGCTAAAGACACCAAGGGGATTGAACTTTGTGAGATGCATCAACTATAAAACTAACTTGGAGCGATCTGCGTTCTTCCAGCATCGATGGTGATATGGGTAGGTAGTTTAAGGGATTTAGCTCTTTCCTGTCAATTTTTGTGAACAGTCAACACAATAACTACGAAATGGTAAAAGTGAAGACAAGCTCCATGAAATCTCCAATTCCTATATGGTCAGAAACAAAAACTGCTAGAGACTAACATCTGGCAACTCCGGCAAAGCCCGAAAAAGATTGAATTTGGCAAACAGCATTAGAGCTGTGGATCCAAAACAAATCTCAATTACAACAATCCACTTTACAGAAACAATTAGAAACTTTGTTTAGTAAAACTCACTTGCAGTTCTAGCATCTCATCCTCGCCATCGATTTTCACAACAACTTTTGGCTGTGCACATTCCTCCCAGCTGCAAGAACAACCAATATTCTGTTAATTTAAAATCAAATCTTTTAAGTAACAAATGGATTTCACTATGACTTGGAGAGGAAATACCTGTGCAGTGCTTTTGGCGCTCGACGAACAAGCTTTTTGTATAAACCTAAAGTTGCATGACTGCAAAAAAAGGCAAACCAAAACAAAAGAATCCGAACAAGAACACATAAATATAAGAAATGCTGAAGATGAAGTAAACGCTTAAGAGAAACAGAGAGAAAGCTACTATTTTAAACCACCTGCATTGAGCTGCAATCTTCCCTTTACCCATTTTAAGATCATTTCTCACAACCAAAACCTGAGCACAAAAAAAAGATAAAAGCTCAATTCAACATCTCGTCTTTCGAATAACGTATAGAGGTAGAGGGAGAGAGTGACAAATGTAGTAAAGAACCATTTTGAAATCATCGAGAATATCAGCGAGTTTCTCGATCTCGAGAGGACCCTTTAGTTGATTTTTGCTATCCCGTTCAACAGCCACAACGGGTTTGGAACGACGAGTGCCAATGCAGAATCCAAGTGCAGCTCCAACGATTAGCGCACTCAACCACGTCAAATCCATCGTTATGAATTATAAAAACTCAACTCGATTTTTCCTACAAAAAAATCGGACGATACAAAAATGATATTACAATTGGGGATCTAAAACTGAATTAAGCATTCTCAGTAACAGCGATCAACTTGACGTAATCCATTAAATTTCTACAATAGAAAAGTAGGATTATCAATGATAAAACGAAGAAGAAGCTTACTGTTCGAGAGAGAGAATGGCTTTGAAGAGGAATGAAGTTTTTTTTTTCTCAACCCGGCGTGGAATTTTTGTGGCAAGAGGCTATATAAAAAGAATTGAATATTGGGCTTAGCCGAATAAAAAAAAAGAAATAAAAAATGCATATATTTTTGGCAATAATGATGGCGTAAAGGAGGGGATAGAGTTATTCCCGCGACCAAACAATAAAGAGAAATGCTTTCTTTTTCTTCTCCAGAATTTGTCCGGCATCAACGGCATTGACCTTGTCGCAGGTTTTGGTCTCTAGTCGCCTTGTTTTTGCCAGATCGACCATATTCAGCTTTCCTATTCGAGCTTCGCATCGTCTTTCCGACGTAGCAAAGGTAGAAATTCCTGCGACTCAACTTGCTTTTTTTTGGGTTACTCTCTCGTGTTGATCGCTCTATTTCTGTGGTTTTCGATGACATGAACTTAGTCTCCTTACGGGTTTTGCTTGATCAGTGAGGGTTTTACTGTTCTGTTTTCTTTCGAATTTTAGATTTTTGAAGATTTTTATCGAATTTGTTTTTTTTCTCAGAAACCCCTAATTAGATTCGTAGGTAGAAATCTGTTTGATTTCTGGTTAAACTAGTTCCGTAGATATCGAATTGGGTACCTTTTTAATAATTCCTTGACTTGTTTTGATGGATCGAGAGATTTTGTGTATGATCGAGGAGATCGCGCTTACAAATGAACATTGGAGAACTCTGCAGATTCATGTTAGGACTCTTATGGCTCCTTTGGATGATTTGATAATAAGCAGATCCTTTCTTGCTCGTTACTGTTTAGCATTACTGAAAAGGCATGAATGTCTAGGGCATGAGTAGGCTGATGATGTGTTTCATTTACAGGTTTGAGAATCAGCAAAGATGAGTGACAATCTCATGGACAAAGTTACCGCCTTTGGTGAGCGCCTCAAGATCGGAGGTTCGGAAGTGAGCAACAAAATCACTGCTGGTGTGAGCTCGATGAGCTTCAAAGTGAAGGAACTCTTCCAAGGTCCAAACCCAACTGATAAAATTGTTGAGGACGCTACCACGGAGAATCTAGAGGAACCTGACTGGGACATGAATTTGGAGATATGTGACATGATAAACCAAGAGACGATTAATAGCGTTGAGTTGATCCGTGGGATAAAGAAGAGGATCATGATGAAGCAGCCGAGGATTCAGTACCTTGCCTTGGTTTTGCTTGAGACGTGTGTTAAGAACTGTGAGAAGGCATTCTCAGAGGTGGCGGCAGAGAGAGTTCTTGATGAAATGGTTAAGCTGATTGATGATCCGCAAACGGTTGTGAATAATCGGAACAAAGCTTTGATACTGATAGAAGCTTGGGGAGAATCCACCAGCGAACTTCGCTACCTACCAGTTTTCGAAGAAACTTACAAGGTAACTTTGACCCGGTACATACTAATGCTATGCTGCTGAGTTTTGCCATACTAATTCCGTTTACACTTCTTAATTGAGTTTAAGTGTGCTGTGACTTTATTGGCTTTGCTTTTTGAGATTTCGGGTAAACGTATGGCATGCTTGTGGTCAAGGGACTGGGTTTTGAGCAAACAGATAAATGACTATTGTTTTTGATTGATTTGGCTTGATCTACTAGCATGTTACAGGAATTGATAGAAAAACAAAAGCTGTGCGGCCTGATGTGAGAGTTCATTATGATCTTGATAAATATTCTTTGTCTTATAATTTTGTTACTATACCATAGAGCTTAAAAGCGAGAGGTATCCGTTTTCCTGGACGAGACAACGAGAGCTTGGCACCTATTTTCACCCCTGCTCGGTCAGCTCCAGCACCAGAAGTGAATGCTGATCCTCCTCAGCATGCGCATGAGCCTGCACATGTTCGGTATGAAGCTCCTGTAAGAAGCTTTACCGCTGAGCAGACAAAGGAAGCTTTCGATATCGCAAGAAACAGCATTGAACTTCTTTCCACGGTCCTGTCCTCTTCACCTCAACACGATGCTTTACAGGTAAATCAACTCTAGAATAATGAGTAACACGGTTTATCCGCAATATATATGTTTAATCTAGTTGCTCATTGACCTAATTTTGTTTAATCTCTCCGATTTTGCAGGATGACTTAACAACGACACTTGTACAACAATGTCGTCAGTCTCAGAACACTGTCCAAAGAATCATCGAAACAGCAGGGGAAAACGAAGCCCTTCTGTTTGAAGCCTTGAATGTGAACGACGAGCTTGTGAAAACACTGTCCAAGTATGAGGAGATGAACAAGCCCTCTGCACCTCTGATCGCACCTGAACCAGCAATGATTCCTGTGGCTGAAGAGCCCGATGACTCTCCCGTTGATGGAAAACATGAAGCTCTGGTCAGAAAATCATCGAGTAACCGAGCTGGGATCCATGGAGGTGGTAGTGGGGATGACATGATGGATGATCTAGATGAGATGATCTTCGGTAAGAAAACCGGCGGTGATGGAGATTCTTCCACTGATGCTGGACATGACTCGAAGAAGCAGCAATCTTCGTCTAAAAACGACGATCTCATTCGATTCTGAGACCGTTTTTCCCGGCAAAAAAAAAAAAAAAATTCTTTTATGGATTTGGTGTTTAATTGGTTATTATGAATGAACAGTTTCAGTGTAAGTAATCTTGTGTTTGGGGATCTCTTATGACTTGTGTGATGGGTTTATAAAGAAAGAGATTTGTTATTTGCTCATTGTGTTGCTTCTGATTTCCTTTTATCTTATTGCTCACTTTCTCAACGTTTCTCACTCTAAACCGAATTAAACATCCGATTCTGTCAAATTGCTGTCGGAGCGCATTTGATTACAGCAATTGAGTTTCTATTTAGCGTTTCAACCGCGGTCGCAATCGCGTTAAGAGAAGCGCATCCGCATCGTCACTTTTCCCACTTCACTCTCATCTTCTGCGTTCCACGACTAACAGAAATCTGTAATCGAATTCGAATCGAAAACATCAGATCTCGCAATGTTCGGAAAACAGCAGAATCATCATCATCATACTTCCTCCAGACCCAGATCCAAAACCTTAATCTCCATACTTTTCCTCTTCTCCATCTCTCTCCTCGTCATCCTCTACAGCTTCTCGTCCTCCGCCCGCCCCTCCGTTTCGTATCCGTACCAATCAGACCGTCCGGAGACGTCCTTCGTCACCTCCCTGGAGCAGTTTTTAATCCATAAGGCGTCGAAGCTCTCGTCACCGGTTAGAGACGACACGGCGCGTGGGGAGAGTGATGATGATGTGAGGAAGCTCGATGAGATGGTGTTTGAGAGGGAGAGTCGGCGGTTGAACGAAGATCCGGGATATCCTGTCGGGTTTCCTATTAAGGTTTACGTGTATGAGATGCCGAAGAAGTTTACTTTCGATCTTCTCTGGTTATTCCACAATACTTACAAAGAGACGTCGAATGCCACCTCTAATGGTAGCCCTGTGCATCGCCTCATCGAGCAGGTACTCTATATATATATCACGAGTTGATTCTCTATTTACGCCTCTTGTGTTTTTTCATCTGTGTCTCTTCTTCCGCTTGTTCCTCGAATAACTTGAGCCTAATTTTCTATATTTGCAGCATTCAATTGATTACTGGCTCTGGGCTGATCTGATCTCCCCTGAATCTGAAAGGCGTTTGAAAAGCGTCGTGAGGGTCCATCAGCAGCAGGACGCTGATTTTTTCTATGTTCCGTTCTTCACTACAATCAGCTTCTTCTTGTTGGAGAAGCAGCAATGCAAAGCACTATATAGGGTGTGAGTGAGCTTTGATGATTTGAATCTTCCATTTTCGTTAGTTCTTTTGTAGCTTTTGTGTTCATGGTGCTTTGTTTTGGAAATTAGTAATCTCTTTTCCGACTGTAGGAAGCCTTGAAGTGGGTCACTGATCAGCCTGCTTGGAAGAGATCGGAGGGAAGGGATCACATATTTCCTATTCACCATCCGTGGTCTTTCAAGTCCGTCCGCAAATTCGTGAAAAACGCAATCTGGCTTTTACCAGATATGGACTCCACTGGGAACTGGTGACTCTAGATTTCCTTCTTTAACTTATTATTCTGAATCATGTAGTCTGCCTCTCTTAGCTATAACTATTTGTTGATTCTGTTTGAAATTGACCACCTTGTAGGTATAAGCCTGGGCAAGTTTCACTGGAGAAAGACCTAATTCTTCCTTACGTTCCAAATGTTGATAGATGTGATGCCAAATGCTTGTCAGAAAGTGCACCAATGAGGACAACACTTCTTTTTTTCCGAGGGCGGCTTAAGAGGAATGCTGTAAGAATCACACCACCTCTAAATATACGGCCTTAATATATAAACTCATGGATTAAATCTGAAGTGTTCTTACCTTTTCTTTAGTGGCATTTCGAATACTTCCGTCTCTCATGATTTTGGCTACTGAATTGTTGTCTTAGGGAGGTAAAATACGTGCGAAACTTGGTTCAGAACTGAGCGGTGTCAAGGATGTAATCATCAGTGAGGGGACTGCCGGAGAGGGTGGGAAATTGGCTGCTCAGGCCGGCATGCGTAGGTAATATCTAGGTTGCGTCCTAACCGTTTTGGATGCGACACAGTATCTTTATTTCTAACCATGTCTGCCTTCGAGCAGATCTTTATTCTGTTTGTGTCCTGCTGGTGACACACCGTCCTCGGCGAGATTGTTTGATGCCATCGTCAGTGGCTGTATACCTGTTATAGTCAGTGACGAGTTGGAACTTCCCTTCGAAGGAATACTTGATTACAAGAAGGTACGTAAAACAAACAAAAAAACAAAACTCTTACATTGATGCTCTAAATTTTTACCACTTTTTTGGGGAATTTGTCCATGTATGTAGCAAGGTCTGTAGAACTATCCTCTTCGCCCTCACTGAGTCATTTCTTTTCCTTTCTTTTTTCCTCTCAGGTTGCTGTGCTTGTTTCTTCTAGTGATGCAATACAACCAGGATGGCTTGTAAATCATCTGAGAAGCCTTATACCCTCCCACGTCAAGAAATTCCAGAATAACCTTGCTCAAGTAAGTACCAACTTTTTCTCATCTTCCCAAGCTCTGGTTTTTAAGATGACCTGAACCTATTTTCATAATATTGCCTTACATGAAAGGGACATATAAGAATCCCACTCGCATTATATATTATTTAAAGTAGTATGGTTATTTTCGTTTTGTTTTTTTTGTCCAGTACTCGCGGCATTTCCTGTATTCCAGCCCTGCTCAGCCATTAGGTCCTGAGGACTTGACATGGAGAATGGTATGTACCATCCAAAAGTGCAATGTGCAAGAACCCTCTTTGTGTAGAACTTAGTGCAATGTCAAAATCTAAGACTCAGAAAAAGCTTCATTGTTCTTGTTGCAATGACAGATAGCCGGAAAGCTGGTGAACATTAAGCTTCACACGAGGAGGTCACGACGGGTCGTGAAAGGATCAAGGAGTATTTGCAGATGCGATTGCTGGAGACCTAACTCTACAGCCACCATTTCTCTGAGTCCTCCTCTCTTGTCTTAAGACCCATCACTTCACATTTTCAGTTTTGAAGTCTCTCGGATTTGTTACCATTTGAAGTTCTTATCCTCTACAATTTATATATATGCTTCTTATTCATATTCGCAACATAACAAATCATTGAACAAAAGTTTTCATATCTAATTCGCCTGACGTCGTCACCCGCAGAATAATCTTAGATTTTGTAACTTCTTACATCGGTTCGTTTTGCACGCAACATGGATATTCATTATAATCACATAAAGTTTCAATTGAAAAATAAATTATTATTTTGGGTGTTAAAAGATAGAAGCAAATTCATTTTTACTATATGGTAGATATCTATCTATATATGTACACAGGCACATTACGTGTATGATGTGTGTTTTGTTAAACCATTACTAAAATGATAATTATTGGGTGTTATTACTTAATGCCTTCTATATTGACATTTTTGAGCAGCGCTGCGTGTGTAAATATCTCCAAAATGCCCCTCATCGTCTCTTTCAGTGTGCTTACACGTTTTCGAGTCCCGAAATTAACGCCTCCTTTTTACATTCTATTTATTTTTCTTATATTTTATTATTGGAATTAAATACCCAAAAAAAGACAAAATGTTTTAAGAAAGAATCACACAGATTTCTATCTATTAAATGATTCGTTTCCTTTATTTTCTTTCAATCAGTAAAGAGAAAAGAAACTCTGGATCGAAGTAGGATGCTAAAAAATTGCTACATCGGAATAAGCAACATGGTTTGTTAATTTCACATTTTCATGAAATCGTAGACAACGAGCATAAATTTAAAATTTTACTTGCGAAACAATATCCTCATGAAATTGAAATTTTATTTTCAAAATCTGGTTTTTTTTTTTTCCTTTCTGCTTTAAATATTGTAAGATTCATTGCCTTATGATCTAATCACTGCAATAGTGATTTTATGGTAAGTAAAATTTTGAAAGGAAGTCAGACGCGAAGAAAAGAAGAAAAAAAGTAAAATTTAGAAACAAATCCTACAAAAAAGTAAAACAGTCTTTTCTTACCTTGGACCTTCTTGTCCGAAAAACCTCAAAAATTAAAACAAAAAGATCTGTTCCGTCCACTTGTTTCTCGGCGGCGTTCCACCTTCGTCTTCGCTGTAGCCGCGTCTAAATATTTTCTACTTCAGTAATAAAAATCGAGCAGAGATCTTCCCTCTCGATTACTCGTCTCTCTATCCAACAAAGTCTGGCAATTTCTTTAAATTATTTTTTAATATAATTTCAAGATCTTTGAATATATAAAAAGAATTTGGGGGATGCTCGTTGCTATCATAACGTGTATTAGTTAGCAGGAGTGCTTGAGTATTTGCTCACGACTAAGTCCCTTTCTCCTCTTCTTCTTCTTCATCCTCATCTTCCCTCTCTCTCTCTCCCTTTCACAATCATCTCTTCTCAATTTCTCTCCAATGCATCATCTCCAGTTGGGTGACACCTCCCGACCGCGTTGAACCCTTCAGACAGATTTGTTAAAAAAGGAAGATTTGTCGTCTGTCAATTACTATAAGCCGAAGATCTGAGTTTCTTTTCTCCTCATCTTACCGTTCCTTTCCTCTGAAGGTATTTGTGTGATTTTGGTTTTTATTGTTTTCCTAATAAGTGATCGTCTCTTTTTGTCTGAATGTCAAAAGCCTGTCTTTCTTTATCTTTCTCCTTCGCTCTCTCTCTCTCTCTCTCTCACTTTTCACTACTGGTTCAAAATATGTGTGGGGTTTCCGAGATAATCTCCGATTTGAAAGTTTGAAACTAAAATTATCTGTTCTTTCAGGGTTTTCGTCTTTTATCTTATAAGGTGGTGCCTTTTTGTTGTTGTTTGGTTTTCGGACTTAAATTTTTTTCTGAAGGGCAATGATTGTTGCCTTTCTCTTTTTATTGTAGTAAAGATTATGATGAGTTTGCTTGTTGATTGAAGCCTTTTAGATCCATGGATTGATCTGTTTCTCTCTTAATGTTTTTAAAATCAAATTCAGTTCAAAGAAGTTTTGCTTGATTAAGATTTCTATGTTTCTTCTTTGCTAACTTTGTTGCATCTGTGTTTACTTGTTTCTTCAGGGATCTGACAAGCTAGATCAGCAAGAATGGCATACAATAAGCAATTTGGTGAAAGTCGATCAAATCTATCAGTAAACTCTGATGCTGCGGAGACAGGGAGGGCAGTTGTTGGTCCTTCAGTCAGATTTGCTCGAAGTAGGTCGGGTCACTATGTTAGTTCCTCGAGGGACGACCTCGATAGCGAGTTGGGCAATGCTCATATGTATACGGTTCACATTCCTCCAACTCCAGATAACCAGACGATGGACCCTTCCATATCCCAGAGAGTCGAAGAGCAGTACGTCTCGAACTCGATGTTCACAGGCGGGTTTAACAGCAACACAAGGTCTCACCTTATGGACAAGGTGATTGATACAGAGACTAATCATCCGCAGATGGCGGGTACTAAAGGGTCGTCTTGCGCGATCCCTGGCTGCGACGCCAAGGTTATGAGCGACGAGAGAGGTCAAGACCTTCTTCCTTGTGAGTGTGACTTTAAAATTTGTAGGGATTGCTTCGTAGATGCTGTCAAAATTAGTGGTGGGATTTGCCCCGGGTGCAAGGAACCGTACAAGAACACGGATTTGTCCGACCTGTCCGTTAGCAACGGTCAGCAAAGGCTTCCGGGGCCTGCAGATGGCGGGTCAAAGATGGAGAGAAGACTGTCCTTGATGAAGTCAACTAATCACTCGGCCTTGATGCGGAGTCAAACCAATGATTTCGAAAACAATGGGACGTTTCAGACCCACGGAACGTACGGTTACGGGAATGCTTTTTGGACAAAGGACGGTGAGGATGGTGACGGTGACGGTATGGAGCCGCGAGATCTCATGAGCAAACCTTGGAGACCGCTTACTCGGAAGCTGAAAATTCCTGCTGCTATTCTTAGTCCATACAGGTAAACAAAAGTGGTTTTCTTTTATCCTCTAGTTTTGCTAAATCATGTTCTGTAACGAGGTCTTACGAGATGTTTTTGTTCTTTTTTTTTTGTCAGGCTTTTGATATTGATCCGTGTAGTTGTTCTTGCACTGTTCTTGGCTTGGAGGATTAAACATCAAAACCAAGATGCTATATGGTTATGGGGAATGTCGGTGGTTTGTGAGCTTTGGTTCGCCTTCTCTTGGCTTCTTGATCAGCTGCCTAAGCTGTGTCCGATCAACCGTGCGACCGATCTTCAAGTCCTGAAGGAGAAGTTTGAGACGCCGACACCGAACAACCCGACCGGGAAATCCGACCTTCCTGGACTGGATGTGTTTGTCTCCACTGCGGATCCCGAGAAAGAACCTCCTCTGGTCACTGCTAATACCATTTTATCGATCCTAGCTGCGGAATATCCGGTTGAGAAGCTTTCTTGCTATGTATCCGATGATGGAGGGGCGCTTCTTACATTTGAAGCCATGGCTGAAGCTGCGAGCTTTGCAAACATTTGGGTTCCTTTCTGTCGTAAACATGCCATCGAGCCGAGGAATCCAGAATCCTACTTTAGCTTGAAGAGAGATCCTTACAAGAACAAAGTGAAGTCTGATTTCGTCAAGGACCGGAGACGGGTTAAGCGTGAGTACGATGAGTTCAAAGTCAGGACTAACAGCTTGCCTGATTCCATCAGGAGACGTTCTGATGCTTATCACGCCAGAGAAGAAATCAAGGCCATGAAGATGCAGAGGCAGAACAGAGACGATGAGCTTTTGGAGCCCGTGAAGATTCCGAAAGCTACATGGATGGCTGATGGTACTCACTGGCCTGGAACTTGGTTGACTCCTGCTAGTGACCATTCCAAAGGTGACCACGCCGGTATCATTCAGGTATCAGTCGATCTCTGAATCCCTTTTCTTACTTTCTCTAAAGATGTCGTTTGTTTATTCAAGATTTCATATTTTGTTTCGATCGATGCAGGTGATGTTGAAGCCACCGAGTGATGAGCCACTACACGGAGTATCGGAAGGGTTTCTTGATCTAACCGATGTGGATATTCGACTCCCGCTTCTCGTCTATGTTTCTCGTGAGAAGCGACCTGGTTATGATCATAACAAGAAGGCCGGAGCCATGAACGCACTAGTCAGAGCCTCTGCGATTATGTCAAACGGAGCATTCATACTCAATCTTGACTGTGATCATTACATATACAACTCTGAGGCTATGAGGGAAGGTATGTGCTTCATGATGGACAGAGGAGGCGACCGGCTCTGCTACGTTCAGTTCCCGCAGCGGTTCGAAGGTATCGACCCGTCGGATCGATACGCTAATCACAACACTGTCTTCTTTGACGTCAACATGAGAGCTCTTGATGGGCTTATGGGTCCGGTTTACGTCGGGACCGGTTGTCTCTTCCGAAGAATCGCGCTTTACGGATTGGATCCGCCTCGGTCCAAAGACCATACACCTGGTTGCTGCAGCTGCTGTTTCCCTCGCCGCCATAAGAAGACTCATATCCCTGAGGAAAACAGAGCTCTGCGGATGGGTGATTACGACGACGAGGAGATGAAACTCTATTTAGTCCCCAAGAAATTCGGTAACTCGTCGTTCCTCATTGAATCGATACCCATCGCCGAGTTCCAAGGCCGGCCTCTAGCGGACCACCCGTCGGTTAAAAACGGCCGCCCGCCCGGAGCACTCACCATCCCGCGAGAGCTTCTTGATGCGTCGACCGTAGCGGAAGCCATTGCCGTCATCTCTTGCTGGTACGAGGACAAAACCGAGTGGGGATCTCGCATTGGGTGGATTTACGGTTCGGTCACGGAAGACGTTGTCACCGGTTACAGAATGCACAACCGAGGCTGGAAATCGGTTTACTGCGTGACGAAACGGGATGCTTTCAGAGGCTCTGCTCCGATTAACTTGACGGATAGGCTTCACCAGGTTCTCCGTTGGGCAACTGGCTCCGTCGAGATCTTCTTCTCCCGTAACAACGCTCTTCTCGCGAGCCCGAGGATGAAGATCCTCCAGAGGATCGCTTACTTGAACGTCGGTATCTACCCGTTCACGTCGATCTTCCTCATCGTCTACTGTTTCCTCCCCGCGCTCTCACTCTTCTCCGGCCAGTTCATCGTCCAGACGCTCAACGTCACTTTCCTCGTCTACCTTCTCATCATCTCCATCACCCTCTGCCTACTCGCCTTGCTCGAGATCAAATGGTCGGGGATCTCGCTGGAAGAGTGGTGGAGGAACGAGCAGTTCTGGCTCATCGGAGGAACCAGCGCTCATCTCGCAGCTGTTCTCCAAGGTTTGCTCAAGGTCGTGGCCGGAGTTGAAATCTCCTTCACGCTCACTACCAAGTCCGGAGGAGATGATGTGGACGACGAGTTTGCGGATCTGTACATGGTGAAATGGACTTCGCTCATGATCCCTCCCATTACGATCATGATGGTGAACTTGATCGCCATCGCGGTTGGATTCAGCAGGACGATATACAGTGTGATACCCCAGTGGAGTAAACTGATAGGAGGAGTTTTCTTCAGCTTCTGGGTTTTGGCTCATCTTTACCCTTTCGCTAAAGGGCTTATGGGAAGAAGAGGAAGAACACCAACGATCGTGTATGTTTGGTCTGGTCTTGTCGCCATCACTATTTCTCTTCTTTGGGTCGCTATTAATCCACCGGCTGGTACTACTGATATCGGAGGATCCTTCAGTTTTCCATGATAGGTCGAGTGATCTTCTTCTTCTTCTTCTTAAGAATCGCAAAGCAGAATCTCTTGTTTTTCTTTTTTTTTTACTGTATTAAAATTACATTCCTTTATTAGATTCTTTTTTGTTTTCTTTCTGTCTGATGAATGATGATGGGTCATGATAGGACAGAGATCAGCTAAATTATACAGGTGAAGAAAGACACTTAGTTTCTCTCGTTGTATCATTTATGGACATGGATGTTTTGCTCATTACATTTGTTTCCATTTTTTTTTTCTCGTGTCGATAGCCCGTTTTTAGTTGTTCTAACCTTTGATTTCTAGTGGAATTAAGCTGTCTCAAGGAAGTAAATGTTTTCTCAATTGATTTTGAATTACTATAACACTAAAACCCACATAGTAGTATGTTTAGTTGAACAAACTCTCTATAAACTCGTTCACCATGCCGAAGCCATGATCACTCAATTTGGTGGAAAACAACACACGCATGTCCAAAGCTAAACCTTATATATCGCTTAACCAAACTTCATCACATAACTACGAGAGATTATATCTAACTATCCCATCAATCCAATCTCCCAGAAAAAAAACCTCAAAAAGGAACAAGGAAGCTAAAACAAATCAAAATGACAGCTATTCAAACTCATGTGATAATCTTCTTCATGTTCTTGATCGTAGTAACATCATCAACAAGAGCCCAAAGGAGTCCCCATGTCCGAAACAACCATGGACTCTCAATCGCCGTCGAAGAAATGGAAAAAGCAAACTACTTCTCTTTCGTGATGCTCATCAACATGCTACATTCCGTAAACCCTAAATTCTTAGCCAACGTCACATTCTTGATGCCAAAAGATAAAACCCTTTCAAGAACACACATTATCCATCAAGACTCCGTTACAGAGTTCTTGCTTCGCCACTCGATCCCTTCTCCTCTTCCTTTCGAGCAACTCAGTCTCATCCCCAACGGCTCCACTATTCCTTCCTCTTTACCACATTACACCCTCCAGATCTCCAACGGTGGAAAATCAAACTACTTTCTCAACAATGTCAAGATCATTAGCCGCAACATTTGCAGCTTAGGCTCTATCAAATGTCACGGAATCGATGGTATACTACGATCTACAAGTACTACTACCGAAGATGATTCTCCTCGAAATAGTCACGACGTACCAATTATTTCTTGCCCTAGCACCCGCAACAATAGTGACCACAATAGTCACAACAGTAGTGACCACATCAGTTCTCCTCCTCCTGATCATACCGCTCCTCCTCCAACCAGCAGTCCGAGTAGCCAACCAAAGTCAGATTCGTCGAAGCTTCGTGAGGGAGAAATGTCGGGTTTTATTATTCTTCTACTTGGAATATTACTGAGTGTGGTCGGCACAGGGATCGCCATGTAAAGTTTAACTCCGCACACTGCGCGTATAACACCTAGTCTTGTGTGACTCTCTTGTTATATAGTTCATATATGTATCAAAAACAAACTGAACTTTTATATTTTAAACAATCAATTCAAATATTGGGTTTAAAACTTGTAATGTTTCACTATAAGATCGATTTAGATATTTGTACCCGTATTCATTGATCCAAAATATACTGTAAGGCTTCAAATAATATTATTCTAAACTATATGCTAAAAGATATGAATTTAAGAAATAATTTAATATCAACAAACGTCTTTCGAGTGGACGGGTCAAATATCCAGTTATCGGGTAAAACCGACCCGAGATCTAAATCTTTTTTTTTTTTCTCCCTTTTCACAGAAACCCTACCAAAACCCTGGCGACTTTCTCTGTGGTGCCTCCATTTCTATGGCAATAGATATTTCTGCTTGAAATTTCTTGTTCATCAAGCCAATCTCTTCCTCATAAATCTTATTTTACAGCATTTTTTAAAAAAACCCCTTGAATCTGGAAGAATCCTAGTTTGGTCTTCCTTTATTTCTCAGTCCCTTGGAGATTCCTCCCGAAAAAAAAACATGGCTCAGAAATGTGCGATTAGTTTGATCTCAGCCGTAGCAGCTTCCGCTTCTCTGTCGAAGACGAATTTCGTTGCTGCAGATGGACCTTTCACCTTCCCTGGCTTCTCAACTTCTTCGCCTGCTTCGAGTCCTCAGCAGCAAGGCTCTCCTCCGCCGGCGCCGGGATCTCAGAAAGACGGCGAAGAATCTGATGCTCCTCCACGGATTCGGAACGATAATCCGAGAACTTCTTCAGCTGGGTTCGACCCGGAGGCGTTGGAGCGAGGGGCAAAGGCCTTGAAGGGGATAAACAACTCCGCTCATGCCAAAAAGGTCTTATAAGACATTTGTTTTGTTTTTTTCTCTGGATTCTATGAAAACAATGTTTGTTTTTTTCTAGAATTGAGATTTTAATGTTGTTCTCCGAGATTATTGTTCTCTGTAAACTGTAGAGGCTATACATAGATCTGATAAGAGATTCTGAATAGTTGTATATACGGTTTCGTCGTTTATGAAAGTTCAAAGGCCGAGAAATTCATTCTTCATAGGTTGTTGTAATTTGTACCATGGAGCTTACTGGGAGATAGGTTTGAGCTAGAAAAGTTTTCTTTGGTAGAAGTCTGAGATTGATATCAACTAGTGTTGTGTTTTTATGTTCATCAGTTATGCTTGGGCACACAATTGATGAATGTTTGATTTCTGGTAGGTATTTGAAAGTATAAAGACACAAGAAGAGACGAGGCAAGCTGAGTTTACTGCGAAGGCGCATGAGTTTAAAGCTATGCAATCCCAAGCCGAAGCTGTGAGATCAACTTACACTTAACTTTCATTTGTCAATATATTTTGATTACGTGGTCTCAGTATACTTTGGCGTTCTCGATTCTTTGGTTGCAAAGTCATGTTCCTGACACTTTCCATTTCGCAGGAGAGGCAAAGGGTCATATACGATGAACAGAAGAAACTTGCTCAGCACCAAGCACAAACAAAGGCACAGATGGCCCGCTATGAAGATGAGTTAGCAAGAAAAAGGATGCAGGCATGCGATTCTATCAGTATCCTATTTTATTTATTTATTCAACACTGAGAACGTCTATCCTTTCTAAAAACTTATGCTGTATTATCTTGTTACAGGCTGAGAATGAGGCCCAGAGAACAAGAAATCAAGAACTTGTCAAAATGCAAGAAGAGTCAGAAATTAGGCGGGAAGTGGCTCGACGAGCTACCGAGGAAGAGATTCAAGCTCAGAGACGACAAACGGAGAGGGAGAAAGCTGAGATTGAGCGCGAGACAATCAGGGTCAAAGCTATGGCAGAAGCTGAAGGGAGGGCGCGCGAATCGAAGCTCTCTGAAGATGTTAACAGGAGGATGCTTGTTGATCGCGCGAATGCAGAAAGAGAGAAATGGGTTTCAGCCATAAACACTACATTCGATCACATTGGAGGTCTGACATTAGTGACTAACAGTCTCTCTCTATCGTTTTAATTTTATTTGTTGTGGAAGCTTCTCTATGGAAGCTTTGACCATATCAGTAATTAGAGTCTAAGAAGTAACTTGTGAGTATAATAGGCGTGTTCTCCATCTATAGGCGGTTTTCCCCTTCTTTTGGGATAGTCTTTGGATGTCCTAATCAGATACATGAATTAACTTTTCAATAGGTGATTAACTCTTTTGCGTTTTTCCCAGGGGGCTTGCGTATGATTCTAACGGATCAAAATAAGCTGGTTGTTGCTGTTGGAGGTGTCACTGCTCTTGCAGCTGGGATCTACACAACAAGGTAAAGACTGAAAATGGTTGAGACAAAAATGTCAGTCATGAGTTCTTGTAGTTGTAAGGTTGAGGAACTTAGTCAGCTTATAAATTGCTTGTTGCAGAGAAGGTGCAAAGGTTATCTGGAGCTACGTGGATAGAATATTAGGGCAACCTTCTCTAATTAGAGAATCGTCGAGAGGAAAGTACCCTTGGTCTGGTTCGATTTCTCGTGCCTTGTCCACGTTGCGTGGTGGTGGTAAGGAGTCTGCATCAACAAACGGGAAAGGGTTTGGTGATGTTATTTTGCATCCTTCTCTTCAAAAGAGAATCGAACAGCTAGCTAGTGCAACTGCCAACACGAAATCACACCAAGCACCTTTCCGAAATATGCTTTTCTACGGTCCACCAGGAACAGGGAAGACAATGGCTGCTCGAGAGCTGGCTCGCAAATCTGTATGTATTCTCTCCATTCCTAATGCTTATAGTTATCATATCTGTATGTACGAAGAATAGATTCATCTGAGCTTTAAACTGAGATCTTAGTTATAGGTTGCTTGCAGGAATAATCACTCTCTTCCATTGATTTGTTACGATTCAGGGTCTGGATTATGCGTTGATGACTGGTGGAGACGTTGCTCCACTTGGAGCTCAGGCTGTTACAAAGATACACCAACTGTTTGACTGGTCCAAAAAATCAAAGAGAGGCTTGTTGCTCTTCATTGATGAAGCCGATGCATTTCTGTGCGAGTAAGTTGTAAATCCGATACTGTTGATAATCTTAACTCTGGGTTTTCTTTAAGGTATAATGTGTTAATTTGGTTGCAAATTCGACAGGAGGAACAAAACATACATGAGTGAAGCCCAAAGGAGTGCCCTAAATGCACTCCTCTTCCGCACGGGTGACCAGTCCAAGGACATAGTCCTAGCGCTTGCCACAAACCGACCTGGTGATCTAGACTCGGCAGTGTCTGACCGTGTCGATGAGACTCTTGAGTTCCCCTTACCTGGAGAAGAAGAGCGCTTCAAGCTTCTGAACCTCTACCTAGAAAAGTACATTTCTAAGACGAACCTAAAAAAGCCGGGTTTGCTCCAAAGCCTTTTCAAGAAAGACCAGCAGAAGATTGAGGTTAAAGGCATCACCGAGGAGCTCCTGAAGGAAGCAGCAGCCAAAACGATAGGGTTTTCAGGTAGAGAAATCGCGAAGTTGATGGCGAGCGTTCAAGCTGCAGTGTATGGAAGCGCGGACTGCTTGTTGGACGCAAACCTTTTCAGAGAGGTCATTGATTACAAAGTCGCGGAACACCAACAGAGAAAAAAACTAGCTGGAGCCGATACAGGTAACAAGAAATGAAATCATGTAAATGATCATCAACATAGTTATCTGCAGGTGTAGATTTGAACAACAGTAAAAACTCAGAACCCTGAGAGCATTATTCTCAAAAGGGTCTAGGCAAGAAAAAAAAAATAGCTTTGGTTTTCCAACAAATTGTTTCTCCCTGTGATTTCAAGATGAGAGTTTGATGATTGCTTTAGATTCTTTCTACTTGGCCATTACAATGTTGAGTTGATCTTCATAATCACTCTTTGGAAAACGAGGCAATACCGGTTTCTTTATGCGACATTTCCCAGTTCTGACCATCATACCTTTTGATCTCGACGTGGTTCAGTGTACCGGACTTGACACACTTAACCGTCACTGCGACTCCATCGGGGTTAGACCTCGGGATATAAAAGGAGGTGATCCCGCAGATCTTGCAGAAGGTATGCTTGGCCGTGTGAGTCCCGAAAGTGTAAGTGGTGATGAAATCTTTGGAATCATCAAGAAGCTCAAAGTTACTTGATGGAACAATGAAATGAACATTGCCTCTCATTGAACAATCTGTGCAGTTGCAGCTCCAAGCCACCACTCTTCTTGATGCTTTAACCCTCCATTTAATCTTGCCACAGTGGCAACCACCTTCATGAATTATCAATTCTGATTCCATGGCTTTACTTACTGGATCTGCAATTAGGATCTTCGATGGTGAAAATATTGACATTAAAAAATATTTCAGCAAAATTGGGACCAAAGAAACGAGAATATTCACAGATTCAAACCTAAATTTGTAAACAGACTGTGTTCGCAATCGATGAAGCTTTTCGGTGTGACTGTGTTGTAATTAGTATACGCTGACTTCAAAATTGTGTCTACGAAGTTTATCAAGTCAAGGAAAGAGATGAATAAAAAAGTTATACACGCGCGTTTTATTTCTGTGCTAAAGGAAATGACGAAAATACCCAGCTCATGTATTAAAGGGATACGTCTGTGTGGCCTCGACGCGCTGGACGTGCGAGTGAGATGTTTCAACGTGCGCATCATGAAACAAATTGGGTCTTAAATGGGCTGTAAGTGGGCCTTAAATGGGCTGTAAAGAGATCAATCCATTGCCTTAGCAAAGCAGTCGCTCATTTCTGTCCCGGTTAACCCAATCGTATTTAACTGTAAAGCAGTTGTTTGACCCAAAAAAACCTTTTGACTATCTTTTTCACATCAGACAATTTCTAAAATAGTTTTGAATAAACAAAAGCCCAATCTTCAAATGTATGTCTATATATATATTTTCTTTCTTCGGATATCTGTGTGTATTTTCTCCATAAAATTCTCAAATGTAATGGTCAATGCACACTAAAGGTTTTAAATAAAATTATTATTAGAAATGAAAATTTAAAAACTGAAATTTATAAATTTTATTCGAATAAACTAAATGCAACTGAAATTAGCAGACACAAATACATTCAACAACAAATGGATTGGGAACACATTGCACATGACACCCTTTCTTGCAGTGAAGACTTTGGGGTTTCACAACCTGCGCCGAAACTTCTTCGTGGTGTAACACAGTTTGAGAAGTTTCTTCGGGTAATAACCGACTTGCCTTAACGGTTTCGATGCTCATCACTACAAAACAAGATCAGAATGTTCATCTTTTTTATAAATAGAAATTCGCACACGTATGTACGTAAACTATAATATGAAATTTACCGGATGTAACTGCTAAAAAGAAAAGGAAAGCAAACTTTATCGAAATTTTCTCCATTGTGTTTCAGATGTTGAAGATTAATTTTGGAACCTATAGAATGAATAAATGGTGTTAGTTTAGTCAAATGATCAAAGTTATAGAAAGAAAACCATTCAACAGAATTAAATTTCTTACTGAAATTCAGGTGTTGGATTGGCAAGTGTAGTAGAGCCAACAAAATTCTAGGCAAGTGTAGTATAGAGGCAAAACAATTTTACAAACTTAAATATGATCCAATTAATTTCTAGTTTTTCCTTTGTTCACACACCTAAAATAAATGTTTTTCTTTTTCTTTGGGCGGTAAAAAACACAAAATTATAGGCTCTCAGTCAATTTCTCTTCTACGAGAATTCACTTACTTATACACTAATATGAGGTTATGCTTGTGTAACTCACCTATTAATTCATCATAAAGACTAAACTGAATATTTTTTACCATAAATATACATAAGACCAAATCTCGAAACTGATCCTGGAAAATTTAATACACTTTGACTGAAAATGGTGTGGTCGAGCAGAGACCTAAGGTGTTTAGGGTTGACGAAAATACAGTTTGATTTGGAAAACCCTAAATAGTCAGATTTCGCAATATTTCATTTAAATTTCTTCTCTTTCTTTCCATCCATGTTTAGACAAGACTTCCATGGCTGAATATTTTGTTTAAATTGAGTAGTCCAATGGGAAAAAATGGTAAGAACTTGAAAGCTTAGGGTTTCTGTTCGATTCGTTTTGCATATTGTGAATTATATCTGTTGCTTGCGTCTGTAAAAGATTGAAGCGAAGGTAATACCTGCTGAATCCTCTAGAAACCTCAAGAACATGGTTTTCAACGAAATTGGGATCTTAGATCTTTTATAACTCGCCAGAAACATGAATTTAGAGACATTGTTGTGTTAATATGAATTTTGTCCCACGTGGAATCTTATATTCACAAGTTTTTATCAAAAATAAAACAAAAAAACTAGCACAAGCTTTGTCAAGAGTGATTTAGTTCTGATGGTTGTTGGCTTGATGAAGCTTTACACCTTTACGTCGCTCTTGCTCTCTCTCTTCTGAATCTCGACATAGTTAAAAGAGAATCTAAACAGTTTTGCTAGCTGCCTTCAAAATGTGTCTACGAAATTGAATAAGTCAAGGAAAGAGATGAATTAAAAGTTATACACGCGCGTTTTATTTCTGTTATGATGGAATGACGAAAATATCCAGTTCATGTATAAAGGTATACGTCTGTGTGGCCTCGACGCGCTGGACATGCGAGTGAAATATTTCAACGTCCGCATAATGAAACAAATTGGGTCTTAAATGGGTTGTAAGTGGGCCTTAAAAATCTCTTATTGGGTCTAGTAAATTAGGTTATAATTTTCACGTCGAAGAGGCAGAGAGTGTGCTCTTCGAATTCCACTTGATCAAAAGTTTTTCGATCATCCTTCTGCTGAGATTGCAATTTGAGGTTTGTTAGGGGAAATCCAAGATGGCAAGTGAAGAGGCGAAGGATCCATGGAATGGAGAAGAGTGGAAGAAGAGTGAGAATCAGAAGAAGCAGAAGCCAAGTGCTGGTGTTAAAATGGTGACGAGAGCGAGGAAACAGATCCCGAGGGGACTCGAAGAGAAGTACGAAGCTTACTTCCTCCCGCGAAAGCCCTGGCCTTCGGCTCTTGCCTTCTATGGAAGTTTCATCCTCGGTGGGATCGGTGCAGGTATGCTTATAGAAGCTTGGATCAACAAAAAAGTCAAAGAAGACGGAGGAGTCATTTGGGAATTCGACAAGTGAAGCTAATGATATAGAGAGAATGCGATTCAAAACTATCTCAACAATAATCCGTAGATTGGATTTTTATGTTTCTTTTCTTCTAAAGAGTAACAAAATTCAAAATTTACGGATATCATCGGAGAAAATCGGGATTGAACCAAAAAAGAAGGCCACCAAGTCTAGTTTCAAAAGCTTTGTGGTTCTGTTGTTGAATTGTTTGATTGCAAACTGTTTTTACGTTGTTGAAGCAACTCTCTGTTGAGAAAGACTCTCGCTTGTTTATTTACAATTCACCGGTAAAAGCTGCGAACAAAACTCTGTTTTTAATTGAACCCAGGACGCATTCAAGGTGTTCGATGAAATGCTTCTTCCTACTACGATTCGATACGCGCCGTTTTGTCGCCGAAATATATGAATTGGATTCGAAATATCGCGCCAGTGCGTTTCTTATAGTTTGCAAGACATTCTTTGGAGACAGATTATAAATATGGCAGATTTATTTATTCTTACAGTTTAGACAAATCTCTATGACATTATGTTGTAGAAGAAAAAGGACTCACCACCAATGTCCTCTGCAAATTTCGCTTACCGGAACAATTTTCATTTCTTCTCACGAGAAACCACGACGAGCTGCTTCCCAACGTTCTTACCGTGAAAGAGCCCAACGAGAGCAGCAGGAGCACTCTCGAGTCCATCAGCAACATCTTCCACATACGTGATCTTGCTTTCTCTTATATACGGAACCACAAACTCGGAGAACTCAGAGTATTTGTGGAAGTAGTCGATGGCGTTAAACCCTTGGATACGGATTCGTTTGTAAGTAATGAGCGAGAGGTTGTATACTCCTTCCGGGATCTGCAGATTGTACTGCGAGATCATCCCACATGCTGCGATACGGCCGTGTGGTCTCATGTTTAGGATCACTGCGTCCATCATTCTGCCTCCCACGTTCTCAAAGTATATGTCAATGCCTTCAGGGAAACACCTGCAAAAGAGAGAACACTCTCTTTATCTAATGGGCATTTGTTTTTTTTGAATGATAGAAAGAAAAGAAATCTTTACTTACCTCTTTAAGGCAGCATTGAGGTCGTTTTCTTCCTTGTAGTTAAATGCATCATCGAATCCAAGCTTGTTCTTGAGGAGATCAACCTAGATTAAAGAAGCTCAAACAATATCAAAAGCTATTTGGTTTTTGTTAATCCGATCAAGAAACCAATGGTTGCAGCTTTACCTTATCTTTGGTTCCGGCACTTCCAACGACATAACAACCCATCAACTTAGCAAATTGTCCAACAAGCTGACCAACAGCGCCAGAGGCAGCCGACACAAACACGGTCTCTCCTTTCTTTGGAGAACATATCTCGTAAAACCCAGCATATGCAGTCATACCAGGCATACCTGTGTCAGGAAACAGAGGAGGAGACTGAATAAACTAGTTATACAATGATGACGAAAATACTAGAGGAAACGGAAATTTAACATACCAAGAAGTCCGGTGTAGTAAGATAATGGAAAATCTGTATGATGGATCTTGAAATGGAGATTAGGAATTGGGGTGATAACACTGTACTCCTCCCATCCAACAGCTCCCCAAAGCAAGTCGCCTTCTTTGTAATCTGGGTGCCCTGAATCCATCACTTTAGACACTCCAAACCCAGAGATAGGCTGCACACAGAGAGAGAGCCAAAAAATGAAGTTATTAAACGAAGTGTTTCTGAGTAACACGTACAAGTTGTTTTGTACCTTCCCGGGAAGGAAGGACTGAGCAGTAGCAGGACGCGAGGGATCAGGCTTTCTCATACGATTACGCATGTATGGATCACAAGACAAGTAGAGATTCTTTAGCAACACCGTCGTTGATCCAGCCGGAATCCTAAGATCGACGGTGTTGGAGGTGATTAAGAGGTCTGATTCCTTGGGGAATCCGGTGACGTAATCTCGGAACACGACTTGCTTGTTGCTCACTACCGTTGCTCCGATCACTCCCCCAAGCGTCTCCATTGTTCCAAGATGGTTTTTTTATTTAAGTTCCCAAACGTTTAATATTTCTCAACTTATATAAGCCTTAGCTTCAGAAAATAATCAAGGATTTTAGTTGTATGGATATTAAAATATACAAGTAATAAACGGTTTTGCTATATGGCAGGAAATGCAAAAACAATGAGGCCATAATTAGTTGCATAAGCATAATTTGTTGCGCTATTAAGTGCGATGCAAACAATGTGTGCAATACGAAATTCGAAATATGATTTAGAAATCGTAAATTAATGTGGTTGTGTCTTACAAATAAAACAGAACTTTTGTCTTGCAAATAAAACAGAATTACGATATCATTGATCATCCATCATTATTAGTCTTGCTTTCACTCACGAGCGACCACAACGACTTGTTTCCCAACGTTCTTACCATGGAAGAGTCCCACAAGAGCCTCAGGACCTTTCTCGAGTCCTTCAGCAACATCTTCCACGTACGCTATCTTCCCTTCTTTGATGCACGGAATCACAAACTCCAAGAACTTTGCGTATTTGTCGTAGAAATCAACGACTACAAAGCCTTGAATGCGGATTCGTTTGTAGATTATGCTGGATAGATTGTGTACGCCTTCCTGTTCCTCAAGGTTGTACTGTGAGATCATTCCACAGACAGCGATACGCCCGTGCGTGTTCATGTTTAAGAGCACCGCGTCTAGCATTTTGCCTCCTACGTTCTCAAAGTATATGTCAATGCCTTTGGGAAAACACCTGAAGAAAAAAAAAGATAAGTAAAAGCGCAGTTGATAAAAGTTCATGCTTTTTATCCACTTCTCTTGTTTCTACTATAAGTTGCAAATTGCCGCTGGATTCTTCAAACTGATCTTAGAGAGTTATAGACATCAAATGCTTCAAAAAGAGAAATGGGTACCGAACCTTTTCAGGGCAGCACTAAGGTCTTGCTCTTCCTTGTAGTTAAATGCATCATCAAACCCAAACTTGGTCTTGAGGAGATCAACCTAATAATATTTCCCCCAAAAATAAGCAAAAGGACAAGTCATACTCTTTAAGGCAAAACACTAAGTGAAAAAAAAGAAGAAGAAATGAAGATCAAATTCTCACCTTTTGTTTACTCCCGGCGCTTCCAACAACATAACAGCCCATCATCTTGGCGAATTGTCCAACAAGCTGACCAACTGCACCAGATGCAGCCGACACGTAAACTGTCTCTCCTTTCTTCGGGGAACAGACTTCATAAAACCCAGCATAGGCGGTCATACCGGGCATACCTGTCAGGACGAGAGAAACCTCATGAATAGACAACATAGCAAACAGACTAGACTCCTTCTTCGACAAACCAAACCAATTGAAAGTTGAAAAAATTTCTAGACCGACGTTTAAAACTCACAAATACTAATCCACTCGGCTGCTAAGCTTTGCTATAACAACTATAAATCATGGTAATGACATTCAACTTCATGATCTCTGTATCAACAAGCATTATGATGAAGTAACCAAGTGAGCAAGGTCGGGATATAGCATACCAAGAAGCCCAGTGTAGTAGGACAATGGAACATCGGTATCATTGATCTTGAAATGCTGCATGCCAGGAATTGGGGTAATGACACTGTACTCCTCCCATCCAACCATTCCCCAGAGAAAGTCGCCTTTTTTGTAATCTGGATGCCCAGATTCTATCACCCTAGACACTCCATACCCGGAGATTGGCTGTACCAAGAAAACGGAACAAAACAGTCAACACGAGAAAGAGGAATGAAAAAAAGCAAAACTCAAAGAGACTATTGACTTCCAAATCAAACGCAAGATTTCTTCTCATAGTCTTCAAGAACACCAATCTTAAAGGATGGATGTATCATAAATAAGAAACACCCAGAGATATTGAACACTGTCAATTACAGAAATGGGCAACACACACACAGTACAGAATAGTTGATCCTATTTGAAAACTCTGAGGATGAACACATCCTTTTAACAGCATCAGCAACGGATAATGTGTATATTATTATAATAAGACATCGTTCTGGTCACAATATAAAATAGTACTATATATCCCAAAGATAATCACATAATAATAATAATCTAAAGACATAAGAGGAAGCGAGCTCGAATCAAACATGAAACATGCAAACCGTAAAAAAACGCTTTGATCCTATTGGCATTTCACCGGAAACTTCCATAATCGGAGGCTAATTTGATGCAAGCTTAAACTAGATTCTCGCCATACCTGGCCGACAGTGAAGGCTTGAGTAAGAGCAGAAGTATCAGGCTTCCCCATGCGAGTCCGCATATAAGGATCGCATGACAGATAGAGATTCTTAACCAGAACCGACTTAGATCCCTCCGGAACCCTAAGCTCGACGGTGGTGGTGGTGAAATCGAAATCCGATTCCTTGGGGAAACCACTCACGTGGTCTCTTAATCTGACTTGCTTGTTCGTGACCGTCGCTCCGTTATCTCCTCCGGTGCTCATCGTTCTCTTCTCCGATTCACTTCTGAGTTCGACGAATTGGTCACTTCTTCTTCCGATTGTCGCGGATGCGCCTGCTTTTATAGTGGGATTCTCATTCTCTCGTAGCTGTTGCAAAATTAGCCACAATCAAATGTGACGTCACTGCTTATGTTTTTGATATTTAGCCACAATAAAATGTGACGTCACTACTATATGTTTCTGATATTAAGCGTATTTATCAGTGTTCCACTTTTAACCGTATTTTTTGTTAATCACTTTCTACATTTTTCGACTCGTATGAACGCGGCTGCATTTTTTTTTCTCTGTTCTCACAGTTCTTTTGATAATATCATTCCTTTCACATTTTTTTTGTCGTTTCCAATATCTTTCCTAATGTTGATTTACATATAATCCACCTTAAAGAGGTTCCTGCTTTATTTTCTCGCAAGTGGTTTTGGAAAGAATATAGATTACGCATGTATGGATCATAAGACAAGTAGAGATTCTTAAGCAACACCGTCTTTGATCCAGCCGGAATCATAAGATCGAAGGTGTTGGGAGGTGATTAAGCTGAAACCAAATCCAAACAGAAACAAAAGAAACTTAATTCTGTTTGAAAACCATAGCAATCGTAAATTTATGTGGTTTTGTGTCACAAATAAGAAAAAGAGAAATTTTGTCTTTGTATGGACAAATCTACTAACGTAAACACAACATCATTAATCATCCAACACTAGTAATCTTTCTTTCACTCACGAGCGACAACAACAACTTGTTTCCCAACGTTCTTACCATGGAAGAGTCCCACAAGAGCCTCGGGACCTTTCTCGAGTCCTTCAGCTACATCTTCCACGTAAGCTATCTTCCCTTCTTTGATGCACGGAATCACAAACTCCAAGAACTTTGAGTATTTGTCGTAGAAATCAAAAACTGCAAAGCCTTGAATGCGGATTCGCTTGTAGATTATGCTGGATAGATTGTGTACGCCTTCCTGTTCCTGAAGATTGTACTGTGAGATCATTCCACAGACAGCGATACGCCCGTGCGTGTTCATGTTTAAGAGCACTGCGTCTAGCATTTTGCCTCCTACGTTCTCAAAGTATATGTCAATGCCTTTGGGAAAACACCTGAAGAAAAAAAAAAGATAAGTAAAAGCGCAGTTGATAAAAGTTCATGCTTTTTATCCATTTCTCTTGTTTCTACTATAAGTTGCAAATTGCCGCTGGATTCTTCAAACCGATCCTAGAGAGTTATAGACATCAAACGCTTCAAAAAGAGAAATGGGTACCGAACCTTTTCAGGGCAGCACTAAGGTCTTGCTCTTCCTTGTAGTTAAATGCATCATCAAACCCAAACTTGGTCTTGAGGAGATCAACCTAATAATATTTCCCCCAAAAATAAGCAAAAGGGCAAGTCATACTCTTGAAGGCAAAACACTTAAGTGAAAAAAAAGAAGAAGAAATGAAGATCAAATTCTCACCTTTTGTTTACTCCCGGCGCTTCCAACAACATAACAGCCCATCATCTTGGCGAATTGTCCAACAAGCTGACCAACTGCACCAGAAGCAGCCGACACGTAAACTGTCTCTCCTTTCTTCGGGGAACAGACTTCATAAAACCCAGCATAAGCGGTCATACCGGGCATACCTGTCAGGAAGAGAGAAACCCCATGAATACACAATATAGCAAACAGGCTAGACTCCTTTTTTCGACAAACCAAACTAATTGAAAGTTGAAAACTCTTCTAGACGAAAGTTCAAAACTCACAAATACTAATCCACTCGGTTGCTAGGACTTGTTATAGAATATGGTTATGACAATTAACGGCTTGATCTCTGAACAAACAAGCTTTTTCTGAAGTAACCAAAGTGATTCCACACAAAAACCAGGAGCAAGGCCGAGATAACATACCGAGAAGCCCAGTGTAGTAGGACAAGGGGACACTGGTATCATGGATCTTGAAATGCATGTCAGGAATTGGGGTAATGACACTGTACTCCTCCCATCCAACCATTCCCCAGAGCAAGTCGCCTTTCTTGTAATCTGGATGCCCAGATTCCATCACCCTAGACACTCCAAACCCGTAAATTGGCTGTACCAAGAAAACACAACAAAACAGTCAACATGAGAGTGAGGGAGAGTGACAAAAAAAGGAAAAAGCAACACCCAAAGAGACTATTGAAGATTTCTTCTCATAGTCTTCAAGAACACCAGTCTTAAGGATGAACGTTTTCGTATCATGAATAAGAAGCATCCAGAGAGATTTCTGGATATCGAAACATTATCAATCACAGAAATGGTCAACACACAAACAAAAGACTATTCCTATTTAAAAACTCTGAAGATGAATACATGGTTGAAATAGCAACGCAACATACTATCGCCGAGTATATCATTATAATAATACTCGTTCTGGTCACAAAATAAAAATACTAGTATATCCCAAAGAACACATATAATAAACTAAACACATAATAAGAGGTTAATTAGAGTAAGCGAGCTCGAATCAAAACATGCAAACTAACAAAAAAAAAAACATTTTGATCCTATTGTGATTTCACCGGAAACTTCCATAATCGGAGGATAATTTGATACAAGCTTAAACTAGATTCTCGCCGTACCTGGCCGACAGCGAAACCTTGAGCAAGAGCAGAAGCATCCGGCTTCCCCATGCGAGTCCGCATGTAAGGATCGCATGACAGATAGAGATTCTTCACCAGAACCGACTTAGACCCCTCCGGAACCCTAAGCTCGACGGTGGTGGTGGTGAAATCGAAATCCGATTCCTTGGGGAAACCACTCACGTGGTCTCTTAATCTGACTTGCTTGTTCGTGACCGTCGCTCTGTTTTCTCCTCCGGTGCTCATCGTTCTCTTCTCCGATTCACTTCTGAGTTCGACGAATTGGTCACTTCTTCTTCCGATTGTCGCTGATGCGCCTGCTTTTATAGTGGGATTCTCTCGTAGCTGTTGCAAAATTAGCCACAGTCAAATGTGACGTCACTGCTTATGTTTCTGATTTTATTTAGAGTGTTCACTTTTAAGCGTATTTTTGTCACTTCTACATTTTCGACACGTGTATGAACGCGGCTGCATTTTTTTCTCTCTCTTTTCTCGCAGTTGATATAATGTTTCATTCCTTTCACATTTTTTTTTTCTCGTTTTCAATATCTTTCCTAATGTGGATTTACATATACGTAATCACCTTAAAAGGTTCCTGCTTTAATTTCTCGCAAGTGATTTTGGAAAGAATATATAAATTTCACTTCTTTGCAAGATATTTCCAGCTTTCTTAAAAACTTGAGCGATCTCTCTAAAGTCTAAACTCTAAACTTAACCACTGTGTTCAAATTCGGTGGTTATTCTCTAATTTCGTTTACTGGTTACCTACTCAGCTAGTCTTTTGTTTGAAATTTTGAATCGCATTATCTGCAACTCAGAAATATATTGTTTCCTTACTTGAATCTGTCACTCATAAATATATAGTTTTATTACTTGAATTAAAACTTGTGGATGAAAATTTGAAAGTTTAACAATTCTAAGACGCAAAAACAGAGTATTCACCCCAAATATATTTCTTGGTCAAAGAAAAAAGGGAAAAACAAAAAAGAACCCAAATCATTGATTATGCAAAAATGTCATCACTAGACATTCTGATCATAGAAATTAGAGAGGCTCATCCATTTTTCTTGAGGCTAACAACATATGATGAGCGCATAAGCTCTTTAACTTTATTTTCAAACGTTTAACGCTGTTAATAATAGTATTTACTACAGAGATTTTTAAACACGAGTCTTTGTACATGTGGTCATTTTCTCGCGCGTCAGAAGCAAACATTGCTTTTGAACACACAAAAAGCAAAACCTAATGTATATATTTCGCTTAATGTGCAGCAGTTTAGAGACATTTGGCTTCGATTTCCTCAAGTGTGAGACCCTTTGTCTCGGGGACAATGAAGAATATGAAGAGCAGAGACAAGACACATATCACGCCAAACCCAAAAAACAGTATCCCAGCTCCCAACAATTCCTGCAAAAAACAGAGACATGTGAGTCAAACAAGTACAGTAGTCACGGTTCGAAATCAGGAAAGAAAATACAACAGATTTAAAGGGTTAGTCTCGAAAACACGAATAACCTACAAACTGTGGGTGTAGATATCAAGAAGGAATGGTAGATTACCTCAAGCGGTGAAAAAGCAAACGTCACGAGCGCGTTTGCACCGAAATTCAAAAGCACTGCTATACTGAGACCTCGGCCTCTTAATTTAAGGGGAAATATCTCCGAAATCATCAGCCAACCAATTGGACCAAAGGATAGCTGCAAATTTAATCACAACAACTTTATAGCTCTTACCAAACAGTTACAAGCTAATCAGCATGTAAACTCCAATGGGACTATTTAGGACAAGCAATAACGTTGTGGAATACAAGTTTGATCAGTAAAACTTTAATCAGCTATTTGTTTACCTGGTAACAGCCCACATAGAGCAGCAGTGCAATTACAGCGACAGCTGGCGCGGCGCTGAAAAAGATGTAGTATGACCCCAACAGGAACAATGAGACAACCTGTTTGACATTGACAAAGTGAAAAAAAATTGGGAGCATTGAGTTTTCTCTGTATCACGCAGTAAATTTAGATAACGCTCACTAAATTTGATGAGAAAAGAGAAGGGACAGTAAAGACAGAGGACATACCATGCCACCAACACCACCAAGAAGTAAAGGCCTCCTTCCAAGTCTGTCGATAACTACAACAGCTACTCCTGTCATAATCAACTGCAACAACAGTGGTTGGCGTTATTTCCATCAACATTGTTCTTCAGTACAAATGATTGAATGTTAAAAATTTAAGATTGAGATCTGGCTATAAAACCCTTCAACTACACCACTGCCACTCTTTAAGTTCACCATTTAAGTCTCTTACGATATTACCAACAACAAAAAAGCCTACTGTAAAGTATTCTTTTTAGGACTAAGATAACCACAGTCCAAACACAGTTCTAAATGTCAATTTGTAATGACACTATCTCTAACACTGATAACAGAGGTTGCTATTTATCAAGAAAATGAATACCTTCAATAGACCAAGTAGAATTGAGACCCTTGTTGCATCACCTGCGGCAGAAAACCCAGCGGTCTAACAAGAAATGTTGGGAATGAGGGAAGAAAATCAAAAACCCTCTCGTCAAATTCCAATTGCAACAAAGCCAATATTAAACTCTACAGAAAGTTTACTTAGAGAAGGAAGAAAAACCTGCAGTATTGATGGTGCATAGTAAAGCACACTTGGTTGCCCAGTTATCTGCCATTTTGACAAGAATACACATTAGTAATTACTCTTCTAAGAGGAGAACGCAAAATGATTTAACTTTGACTAGAACCCACCTGCTGAAACAAGACTAGACCTCCCCCTATGACGAGAGCTTTCATGCACTTCCCTTGAAATAGTTCACCAAATGTGGCTTCTTTATCCTCGCCCACAGAAGAAAGTTCAGCCAAAATCTCGTTTACTTGCTCAGCAGCTGAATCGGCAAAAGCAGGACCTCTAAGGCGGCAAAGAGACTTGATTGCAGCCTCTTTTTGGTTCTCCACATTCCCTTTCCCCTGTATGACCCGCAACAAAAGCCACCTAGGAGATGCTGGGAGCCACCACATCCCAATTCCCATAATAACTGCCAAAGGGACACTCGTTGCGTACATGTAACGCCAGCCAGAAAGAATATTGACTGTAAGACTACCGATTCCATAGCCTCCCTGCATAAAATTTTGTGTTGAGATATGTGAGAATAAACAAACAGATTTCAAAAAGGAGAGGAGCAGCTCAACTGCTTCACATTAGAGCAATAAACGTCCAAAACCTCAGAGCTTCAAAGAACTTACAACCATCCCAAGGACTATGAAGAATTCCTTTAGTGATACAAGTTGCCCACGTATCTGACTTGGAGCAGTCTCTGCAATGTACATCGGAGCCGCATGCATTGCCTAAATGTAAGGAAACATTTCAGTTCTCGTATTAAGAGTACTTTATGGTTAAATAGCATCAATTCATACAAACAAATAAAAAAGGGTCGTAATTTGAAAGGTGACAAGATTTCTAATCACCGGCTTTTGACCTGGAGAAACATAAATGAGACAGAGAACCAGAAGAATGATGTCTCATGCTGTCACAACATTTGTGTGTACCCTCTCAATATATGTAATGCAGGGTTTGTATGTGTGTTTGCATGGGGAAGCATCGGATAACAACCCGATGTGGGATTCTTGTCACTACACCATCAAATACATAATACATACAGCACATGATAACTTGGCCAAAAACTAAAGAAGTATGAGCAGTACTCTTACCAGTCCAACACCGATCCCATAAGTTACCCGTCCAATAATCAGAACGGGATAGATTGGTGCTAGTGCAGTCACAAGGGCTCCAACGAGGAATAAGATAGCAGCCAGAATCAGCTCCTTTCTTCTTCCTTCCAAATTCAAAATCCAACACTTTAGTTTCTTTCACATGGTGTCTCAGTGCTAAATATTTCTGCCTACCGGATGAAGAAAGTGGAAAAGAAACCAACCTATCACGTCAGCAATGCTAAAAGCCACAATAGAGCCAAATAATGCACCGTAAAGTGAGCCACTCGTCTGCAGAAATTTTAATGGTGAGCAAAAGCAAAATTGTCTCTATTTCAAAAGAGAAGAACACAGCCCCAATAAGGGGAGGAGAATAGAAGATCTGCAATTACAAGCATGAAGAAGAATCAGGAAAGATAATTCGGAGACTTACAACTAGACCAATATCCAATGAGGACAAGCTGTACCATGAAATTCCACTTAATGAAGGCGACTACAGGAGAGGAAAAGGCACAGTAAGATAGCTAACAGAATGTATACAATCGAAATAATGTACTTGCACGGGAAGACAGTTTAGAGGAGAAATCAAAGGAGAAAAAATAGTTTGGAAAGTCTGAATATCATAATATAGTTGTGATATCTCAGTCCAATGTCCAAAGCTTTATAATAGTTAGGCTCTGAAAACGGTGACTAAAGACTTGGCAAAACCAGAAACAAAAATGTAGGGATGCATAATTTCAGACTAAGTTCACACTTTACCTGAATTGAAATGGTTGCACAAGAAGTTGCACCGATTTCATAACCGTAAAGGAGTCCTCCCAGAGCTGGAAACAAAAACCTAATATAATGAAACAAAAATTCCTTAACATGAATTTGAACAACAAAAAAAAACTCCTTAACATGAAAGACAAATGCAAACAAGTGCGGTGCCATTAGATTCTAACATACTTAACAGTCATAAGTTGGCAATAAATAAATGATGGACTATCTAGAAGAAGGAAACAGGCAAAGAGACATAGGCTCATGAGTTGTGTTTTGCACACGAATTGACTTGAAAGCAATGCACAGAACCACAGAGATCGTTCTAGTTTCCTAGTCAGGATACATATTATGATGAGATGAACAAATGATGATACAGAGTGGGCTCAAATGGTCAGAGTTCTTTTTTTGTCATGATTTTTTTTTAAAAAGTACCAAACTTGGAGAAGAGTTCTCACGGGAAAATGGCTGCAACTACAGAGTAGTTTTCTGCGATATGCGTATCTTTAATAAGAGGCTCCCTTTCTGCGTTGATCTCAACCTACAAAGCATAAATAATTTCAGAAATTTGTCAATAAACACTAAGGATGATGACATTATCATAATCTCATGCAAAAAAAATGTAATTGTGAGGTTGATGGCTAAACCAGTCTAAAGAGCTCTCAATTTGAGATAGGGAGAAAAAGAACCTTAAGAGTGAATATATATATATATATATATATATATATATTCAAATGACTCTTATAAACAATACAGTAGCAGATTTGAACTCTATTGACTCCGATTTAGAAAGTTTCTGAAATCTTGTCAGAGAAAAGTCAAAATCGATCCCAAAAGGAACTTCTTTACAGTGGCGGGTGAAGAATCACGAATGGATTACAGATTTAAGCTAAGATACTGCAATTCAAAACACTCGAAACGAACATAGGGAAAACAAGAAAGACGCAGTGAAACCAGAAGTGAGACGTAATACCTCTCCAAGCACAGAAGAGGTAGGTTGCTGCTGCTCGGGATCAAACGCCATAGCTCTCTGTTTCGAGCGATCGAGAAAGAAAGAAAAATGAATTGTGGAATTCGATGGTAGTTCTGGGTTTTGGGTAACACATATATAAATATACTTCTGGTTATTTTTTTAACATTAAGTCATTGACTACCACCAAGGACCTTGGATTTACATTTACTGTTCACACACGAGAACATACAAAAAAAAAAAACTAGGCGTGGAGGTTGGTGACGATGACGGTCCTTAGAAGTTGGAATGGTAAACGAAGTTAACAACCGTTGGATTGGCTCACGAAGAATGTAGACACGATCGATAAATTTGGTAACAATGGCCCCATTTTCTTTATATAACTCTTTGACATATGACGTGTGGTGCGTCGTTGATGGGTTTAGAACCACGGAGAAATGAGTGTTTGTGAGGTAATAGTTTCGAACATGCTATGTCCAAGAGCACGTGACTAAACCAAGACTTGGTGGGTAAATGCAGGCATCCCCCTTCTCATGAGAATCTCTTT